TATTTAAATGGTTTGGCGAAATTTCTGTCAGATCCCGCCGGCGGGACCGCCGACCCCAGAGGAATTTAATATTCTAATCTAATCAGTTAACGGTTAATGTTCGGATAACGAACGGCGGTTGTCGGATGGGAAAATTAATCGAAATGAGCATCCCTAGTAGGGACCATTTGTTTCAGTCCCTCAAGAGGAAACTCAGTTTTATCAAAATCTGACTGCAATCAAAGAACTAAAAATGCCAAAAGTCTCTGGTATTTTGTTTGGTTACTTATGGTTAAGGTTGTTAATTTTGGGATTATGGTTTTGCCTGTATAAATGACTGGACAGTCCCCACAAAGATATGAATGCAAACGTGTGTGTGTGTGTGTGGGAGGTTGGGGAATATTCCTAGACATCCCCTGATTGGACCTGTGCCAGGGCAGCGACTAAAATATTTGTGATAATGAGTAATAACAGGCAGACAATCTGTAACCTGGGGTCAGCTAATTAGTGTGGTGCTAATAGAGGACGACCACAGAACAGTCCAGAGTGACGGCCTGGACTGGGGGCCTTTCACAGCCCATACCCCCTCACTGTAACCCGACTATCTCACGTCGATTTAACGTGCAGTGCTGGAGTATCTGAGCTCTGGAGCTGACTGAGCTTACCTGGCTACGTGTCATCAGAGAGACACTGCTTAATACTAGGCCAGGTCTAATTTCTATGTCTCCAGTAGGAAATATTGAAAAAGTTTCCTGGATGCTCCCATTTACATTTTATCAGCTTCGTTTTAAAAACCTTCCACAGCGTGCTATTAGTGGCAGCCTGTGGGAGATGTGATATATGCTAGTAAACTTGCTTACTGTGTCTCACAGAGGTAAAGGAAGGGTGCAGTAAGATCATGTTCAATTTTAAAAAAGAGAATTTTAAAGGTTGACGGATGCAGTCTGTGTCCTCTTTAGGGCTGGGGGATGGGGTGTCGCTCAGTTCCTGCTGCTGCACACAGATTTTTACCTACTTTTACCCTCTCCTGTCCGTTTTGTTGCATATTGTTTTCTCCTCGGGATGGGTCCCACGGCAACCATCCAAAATCCTCTCTTCAAATCTCACCCTTCTTAATGTGGTGGACTCCTGCAAATAGATTTCTGCCCATGCAATAATTTCTTCATTGGAAGTAAAGAGTATAGAAGCTCCCTTCTTGGCCGCGGCTGAATCTCTGCCAATGGGGGCCTGAACAGCTGTACCACAGTTTAAACATTTAGTCCCCACTGACCAGGGGAACATTTAGGTTTTTAAAGCTTTGACAGGTTTTGAGTCAACACTGCTGACCAAAAACTTGCTCTTTGTCAATATTTAGCCTTCAGCTGCGCCGGTGTTCCTTGAGGCCGTTAGAATACGTGGCTGTGACCCAGCCCAGTAATAAGTCTTTGTTGGCCCTTTTTAACGATCCGAAATCATAACGAACAGTGTAAGATGCAAAGATTTAAGCTTCCTGTAATATTGCGTAATTATAATAATGAACGAATTGTTTTGTTATTGTGGTTATTAACGATTTGATAGATGATGGTGGCTTTGTGGTTTAGGGCTGATTCAGCACCGTGGTTTATGACGTTAACGGCGGGCCCGTTTTTCCTCCATGACTGTGGTTAATGAGGTCCATCCTGTTCTACCCTGCAGATGCAGCAGCTGTTCTATGAGAACTACGAGCTGAACAAGAAGGGATACATCCGCGACCTCCATGACAGCAAGATCCACCGGGCCATCACACTGCACCCTAACAAGAACCCGCCCTATCAGTACCGGCTGCATAGCTACATGCTGAGACGCAAGATCGACGAGCTCCGCTACCGTACGGTCCAGCTGCACCGTGAGATTGTACAGATGGGCCGCTACAGTGGTTCCGAGGTGCGCAAGGAAGACCTGCAACTGGGGGTGGCACCCTCCTTCATGAGGTTCCACCCACAGCAACGCCAGGACGTCCTGGAATGGGACTTCATCACGGGACGGTACATCTACTCATCCGCTGAGAAGCAGCCCCCACGCCGGGGCATGGACTCCTCACAGAAGTCGGCCCTGGAGGACATAACAATGCAGGTGATGGAGATGATCAACGTCAACGCCAAAATCAGGGGTCGCGTCATTGAATTCAAGGAGGTTCAATATGGCTACCGCAGAGTCAATCCCATGTATGGCGCAGAGTATGTGCTGGACCTACTGCTGCTGTACAAGAAGCACAAAGGGAAGGCCATGACCGTCCCCGTGAGGAGGCACGCCTACCTACAGCAGACCTTTAGTAGGATTTACTTGCAGGAGGATGAGGAGATTGACGCTGCTCACCTGGCCAGCAGGATTAACCAGGACTCCAACTCACTCTCCTTCCTCTCCAACTCCCTCAAGATGTTGGTGCCGTTCAAGCTGGGTGGCTTGGGAACTGAACCCAAGGAGCCGAAGGAGGAGAAGGTCAACATCCTGGTGCCGCTGTTGGGCCGTCACGAGATATTTGTCCGCTTCATGGCTAACTTCGAGAAGGTCTGCCTAATCCCAAACCAAAACGTCAAGCTGCTGCTCCTGTTGTTCAGTACTGACAACAGCACAGAGAGGCTACGGCAGACAGAGCTGATGAGAGAATACCAAGCAAAGTACCCCCGGGCTGATCTGGAGGTCATGAATGTCCTGGGACCTTTTTCCCGGGCCCTGGCTCTGCAAATGGGCTCGTCACGCTTCTCCGACAACTCCCTGCTTTTCTACTGTGATGTCGACTTACTGTTTACAGCCGATTTCCTGAATCGGTGCAGGAGCAACACAATACTCAGAGAGCAGACCTACTTTCCAATCATTTTTAGCCAGTATGACCCCAAAGTTGTCTACGCGGGAAAGGCACCCAGTGAAAACCAATACGTATTCACCTCCAAGACAGGCCTGTGGAGACACTATGGGTTTGGGATAGCCTGTCTGCATAAGGGAGACTTGGTGACTGTGGGAGGCTTCAATATCTCCATCCAGGGATGGGGCCTAGAGGATGTGGACCTCTTCAATAAATTTGTTGAATCAGGGATCAGACCATTCAGAAGCACAGACACTGGTATTGTGCATGTCCACCACCCCGTCATATGTGACCCAAACCTTGACCCAAAACAGTACAAAATGTGTCTGGGTTCTAAAGCGTCTTCGCACGGGTCCGCTCTGCAGCTGGCCGAACTGTGGCTAGCAAAGAATGACCCCTCGCTGCGGGAAATCCATGTCAGTAACACCAGTTCCACAAGGACCGTGTGAAGCACTGTGGTAGATGTAACTGGGGACTTCTAACTACCTAATTTATTTTTTAAAAAAGAACTAAATGAATATATTTTGGAAATACTATTTTCTAACAAGTGCTCATTGGGGTCAAGGGTTAATCGCATTTTTGGTTTTTAAAAAGAAAGAATGAAAAATAAAATTTCGATATTCCATTGGGCTTGGGAACAATGATGTATGTATCAACAAAAAATGTTTGCTAAACTATGACGTCTATATGTAATCTGAGAAGGTACCATGAGCTATTCTTGAGAGCGGTCCTGGATTTGTGTGTGTGTGTGTGTGTGTGTGTGTGTGTGTGTGTGTCGGGGGGGCGGGGGCGGGTGGGAAAGCTTTAATCCTTTATGGATGTTTACAGGGCACTGCGTGAAGACTCCATGCATCAGTGAAAAGGGTTTTCCAAAAGCAAATTGTAATTATCATTACAGGCCTTAAATTTACTATCGATTTTACGCCTTTAAAAAAAAACAGATTCATAATGCTGAAAATCACTTGTTTCTAGATTTTTTTGTTTTTGTTTATCTGAGCACAACTGCTGGAATAAATTTCTGCAAATAATTTGTTGTCTAATTTATTAACTGTCGGCCTATGTTTCTCTGTTAGGACTGCATACACGGTTTGTCCTCCACCAAAAAAAGACTCTTTTGGTTTCACCTTGCACTAGAGGGATGTCTTGTGGACACAGAGCTGCGTTGACTAGCCTAGGCAGGCCATACGTAGGCTGGATTGTAAGTCTGCTAGGAGTCATACTAGCATTCTTCAGGGCGTTAGCTTAGAGAGAGTGTGGGATGGTCCCTGTCTTTGGCTGTTTTTGATCTCTTGCTTTTGACTTATGTCCAGCTAGGGAAGATTTTCTATGTAATAAACAAAAAAAATGTATTAAGTCCCTTTGTGTTCTATTTCTGAAAACCTTTGAATGCTTTTCTTGGCATTGCCTTGTGTTAACAGATTAATTCCCAAATTGCTTTGAATATATTCCATTTTGTAATGGTTATTTGCCTGAATTTGGAAAATTGCTATTAGCATAGCATGTTGAGAGATTTAGCGTGGTTTTCTCTGCGGTCTGATGGGTGCAGCAGTCACTGGTCGACATTCTCCTGGAGTATCAATTTTTTTATTTTTTTTTTTATACCTCATCGCACTCCTGTCCACACGCAGGGGAAGTGGGGGGCAGTCAATGGATGAGCGGAGTGAAATCCCAATTTGGAGATGTCAGGTATGATATGGTGACCATCGCAAGGCACGCTGTCTGTTGTCCCGCTGAGAACACTGACGTCCGAGCTGCTCCCGCTCGTTAGAGGAACCCTGCTTATGATTGTCTGCAATCCCAGCTTGTGACCTTGTGGTGGGCAGTCATCGGCAGAGGAAGCCCGTCTAGCAATTCCCTCCATATTATTAGGGGGGGGGGGGGAGGCATGGTGACCCAGTAGTGGCTTTGTTACTACACACAAAGCAAGGCTTCTGGAGGCCCTTCTGTGGATTTTCCTGCCCCTTGATTGGGGGGAGATCAGCCTCTTGGGTTTCTCTTACATTATCTCCAGTAATTGCTATTTATGGTCTCAAATTCAGTTTCTCGCAATTCAGCCTATAAAATTTGTTCGACCCACTCCCCTCCCCCACCACCAGCCAAATTGAATACGGCGATCCCATATCCTTGTTAAGAAGCCTTTTGGAGTCAAACCAACTCTGATTTACTGTCTCGCCCCCCTGCCCCTGACCCCCATCTGGAGTTAACGACTGCTCTTAAAAATCTACACCAGTCCAGAGCAGGAAGACAGTGTGGAACAATTGTCCCAAAGACATGGAAGGCATACAGCTGGCTTTAATGGAAGCTGCGCTCTCGATTGGACTCGGCGTTCCTCTCTAAACATGTGGAGGGACATCCTCTCCAGAGGCTGGCATTTTGGCAGTTCAGAGGCAGGATGTCGCTCGTATGTCCGCTGGAGACCGTTTTTACTATGGAAGGTAACAAAAGTAGAAAGTCAATGAGTAACATGTGGAGCGACTAGAGATCTGCTTTGTCGTTGCCCCTCTAATGAGAAAAAACACTAACAACTTCCATGCGCGTGGATTTGTCCCTCCGCCACGGACTGTGCCTCGGGCGCTGGAAGCGCGTTCTGAAGCAGGGCTTGCGGGAAATTCCATTCCGTGGTGTGGAGGACCCGCTCGTTGAGTTCTAGGCTGCGGGTAACAAAGCCAAGGCTGAAGGGCGGTGCTGAGCTTTACGAGCTTAGGGTTCAGTGGCCTGCGAGGCTGAAACCTCGACGGGTGATGGTTGATAATCCCGACAAAATTGGTGAAAAAGATACACTGTGACTCTCAAGGTAATTCTCTGAATCCTCTCAACAGCAAAGGCTTTTTTGTTAAGGAAACCTAACAATTAGTCACTGTGTTGAGGACCCCGCTTAAAAAAAGAGGTGGACGAACTCCAGAGTGTTGGGTTTCACAGTACTGACCAGGCCTGTGTGAAAGCGGTTCTGACGGCTTGGATCACCGGAGTAATTTCACAGTGCCATGGAGCAGAGAGGGGCTCTTATATAACCAAATTTGAATCCATAGAGCCATACTAATAAATGAAAATTGTGCTTTTCTGCCTAGTGGTCTGTTGTACATTTTCAGACAAAGCTGGCAGATTAACCGCAAGAACATTGGGTTTCATCTGCGTTCTCGGTGCTGGCTAGCTGCTGCGGGGTCGATCGGTACCAGTGGCGAGTGGCCGCCCCTTTAAGAAGGACCTCCTTTAAGCTCTGGGGGCCAGGGATGAATGACAGCCAGCCCCCCCTTGCATTTTTACGCAACGCAGCCTTTTGTGATTGAACTCCACAGCAAACGTTATGCTCTCATCGGTGGTTGGCATGGCAATAATTTAAGAAAAGCAGCTGTGTTACCTCAGACCCAGCCACGTTTACGTCGGTTACGCATATTAATTTGGGGGGGGGGGGGTTCTTGGCATGTTGGCAGTTTTTTCCCCGTTACTGCTCCTGCTGAATATTCCTCAGAGAATGCGTCTGCTGGGCTGTTCCGTAGCTTGGACAAAAATCCGATTTTTACTGGAAGCACATTGGTTTGATTAGATGTAATGCTCGCCTGTTCCCGGGGGGAAATGGTTTTCTTTTATTTTCCCATTTGGCCCTTCATGTGGACAGATAGGTGCCCTATCTTGAAACGATCAGTGAAAATGAAGCCGCCCCCCCCACCCTCACCCCCTGCGGGGTAGCCGCGGAGCCATCATGAAATCGATTTCTGAGCACTGTACCCTTGTTATAGCATTAGCCAAATTACAGTCCGGTCCACTCCATTCATCTGCGGACCACATGGCCGCTGCCCCCCACAGAGAAACATGTGTCTCACGGTTTGGTGAAGGGACGCGCCTGCTCCTCATACTCTGATTGGCTGATAAACCTGTTACTCTTAGATATGGTCGGGCGCTCAGTGACCAGCAGTGTGGCCTCTGCTCTGCTGCAGTGTAGATCTCAGAAGTTCGTGTTGGATTCTACCCGTGGTCCTACAAGCAGGTGGTGAAATACCACTGTCCTTGTGTGGGTGCATATGCAGAGTGAGGGATTGGTGTCTCATCCAAGGTGTTCCCTGCCTCCAGCCCCGAATGGCCTGGGATTCGCTCCAGCATCACTAGAACCCCACACTGCATAAGCACTTACGGATAACGGTCAGATGAAGCTTTTGGTAACTTCAACTGAACGGTTTAAAGATATTTAGATCATAGTCAGCTGTAAATTGGTGGGAGAATTCCTTTTGTTGATTCTCATTAGCTGACTGAAGTTTAAATCTGATTTGGACCTTACTGACACCTTATGGGAAGCTGGGCTGGCAGCCATTAATAAAGGATCCCCAAAAGTCTGTAAACAGAGCTGCACTTTAGAGATCAGGGTACACATTGTTCCCAAACAGAATAAACACACCAACAACTGCTCTCACCCACAGCTGCTTATTCAGCTAGAAAGAGCAGATTGACATCTATTAGCTCAGTTTTGCCATAAATATACTAAAAGTCTGGGGGGGAGGTCACCTCTGACATCACGGTCCTGCTCCTGACGGGTGTGTGCTTTACAGACATGGATGCTAATACACATCCTCAATGTTTGCTCCCCCCGTCTCTGCATGGGGCAGAATGTAACAACTGACCATTGTAGCAGAAAAGCACAGGGGACGATTTTAATATTTAAAAAGGTACATAAAGGACTGTTTTCAGAGAGCTTTGTGTCACCGGCACTGACTGGGGAACATGAACATTTTCATACTGTTCATCCATGTGGATCATTCGAACAAATTTTTAAATTCTTGATGCTAAGTCTCCCGATCTCTGGGAGAGAGCTGTGGCTGATCAAAAGGCACACAGCTTGTTGTGGTTCCCTTAAAGGTATTATGCTGAACTGCAAGAAAATGTATGACTTAAAAATGCAGATTATGTGGTGGGACAGCATCGACAGCAGCAATTGGCTTACCTGTGCAGGATGGACAGTAGGAATGACCAGTTAACAACAGTAGCGGCACATGGCCCCTGCCATGATTTACTTTTTTTTTTTCCCCCCCTTTAAACTGCTTGCGTCTGTTATTTGTCTGGGCTTCCATAGAAATCTTTCAAACTTGCATAGCAGAAAACAGGCTATGAAAAGTATCTTTGAAAAATGGTCTCCACTGCATTTACTCAGCTGCTGACAAACGGCAGACCGCTCGGTTCCATCTTTGGCCAGACTGCTAAGAGGGGCGTGTTCTCAGGCCTCGCCGAGATGCGAACTGGTACGCGATTGCAGCAAATGTTTCGGTCATGGCGCCACCACATCTAAACAGGGTGGATTTAAAATCAAGCTGAAGGCAGCAATCCTATAAATAGAGCAATATAAAAAGCATCCATCGCCATTCCATATATGTTTTTGAAGAGTTCTTGTCCAAGGCAGCCGGCCAAACCTTGGCATTATTTTACCAATCAGAAACCTTGGCCTTAAAAAACAAAATCATACACCTTCTGCACACACGAATGAGGCGTCCAAGATCCCATGGTGCAATGCACCAGCTTGTGATGTGAAGAATTATTACCATGTCATTAGAGGCGTGAGACAGCCTCTAAGTGGTATACGCCCAACTGGGCGCACACTTCGTTTCATTCACAGCTTGGTAATTGGAGGCTATATGAGGTGAAATCATCATCGTGTTAAAGCACCCTGTGTTTCCCAAGGCCCTGAAACCGGCGTGTCGTTAGAGACTGACGGTGTCTGGGCCAACAGCAGCTGTGATGCGGGTGGCTCACGCCCGACAGTAACACGGGTAGCTGTCACTGAGCTGGACGAACCATGGCTGCTGTTCAGCTGGGCCCGGGCCTCTTCACAGAAGCCATTACGGCTCGGGGGTGTGTGTGTGAGGTCATCAGCTTTGCATGACGGCTGGTCGCTGCCCAGCGGGTGTAGAGGAGCTGGCAGCTGGGTCCCCGCCCCCCCTTGTCTCAGGAACCAGACCCCAGAGGGCTGGCGAGCACCTGGTAGCAATTAGCAGCCCGTGCCACTTTGAAACCCCCATCCCTGCAGCCCTCACCGCTCTCAGCCATGGAGTCGAGCTCTTTGCAGGACAAAGAAAAGCCTAAGAAATGTCGACGGGACCAGGGCAACAGCCATAGTGACATGGCCTCCATAGGTGGCTTATGGGAAGGTTCAGCAACAAAGGAGAGGCGAGGTGGTGGCAAGTGGGAGGAAACCTCACAGCAGACAGTCTGGCAGAACCAGAAAACATAAATAGGGCATCTGAAGAACCCAAGGCGCTGAAGACCAGAAGGAACGTAGGGCTTAGAAAATCAATGGCTTCAGTATCACGTTCTTCAGAAGCATAAAAATAAAAACCTGTGAATAGGCAGGTCTGAACCCTCCAAACAGCCCAGACTCATGCTAACTGCAGCCTCTCCCTCATCCAGTGACTGCTTTCACTTAGATGTTTAATTGGAGCAAAGTTAAGCACCATCCACAGAAAGACTACAGCATGGCCTCCCCAGGGAATATGGCTGACCAGTCCTTAACCACTGTGCTAAAAAACCTAAACAATATCAAGCCTACATTTTCTTGTGTGCGCATTGTGGAAAGTTCTGTCAAAATGATTGATGTACATGGCTTCTTCTGCTAACCATACTACAAACCACTGGGCTTGGAGGAACGTTCAGAACCTACTGGACTGCTCCTGGACCCAGTGATATCGATCCCATCCCGAGCCAGTTTGCAGTGTTGCTCTGGTGGCCTCCAACGTGGCCCCGCAAAGAGGAATAAGCACATATCTGCTGCCAGGAATCTCTGAGCTCCTGGCACTGGTGAACACTCGTGTAGCACGTCATCGTGCTTGGGGGAGGGGGATGGAGGCACATTTATCAGTTTGTACGCATTAACATCTAATCTTCTGACCCAAGGAGAAGTTCTCTGCACCACATTAGGGCTGGATAACTATTAAATTGACGCAATTCCTCTTAAGCTCCTTACAGGCCGATCTCAGGTGGTCACCCTCCCCCCAGACTTGTTCCCTTTTGGAATTTCTAAAATTTAATCAACCCCGCTGATATGCGAGGCCGAAGCCCCCAGCTTCTGGGTCAACGGTCTTCATTCAGGGCTCTGATTTTGTGGTGGCTTCCAGTGCCATGAAAGCCGCAATCATTTCACCATCCAGGTGTCTGACTCATCACCATCAATCATCCATGCCAGCGTTCGGCCTTCTGCACGGATCGCCTCAGGAACATGGCACTCTGCCTCAGGGCCAGCCGGCTGGGGCGGGATAGCGATTCCACATCACGGGGCTGGCTAAGCATCGTCCTCGCTCAGGTTTCACCAATTCACCCGACCAAAACCCGACCTTCTTCCATGGGTACGCCCTTCGTTTCCTTCTGACTTTGTAAAAATGCTGAGTGTCTATGAATTTAAAAACAGAGCCCATATGAGGACAAGTGAGAAGGCTGTAAAAGAGATGCACGAACTTTATTGCATAGATTTATTTTAGAAAGGAACAATATTTCCTATATACACATGCAGATAAGTGATTGTGAACATCATAGTATAAATTAGTTTAATATTTCATGCTTTATCACAAATAAAGGGAAAAAAAATACAGCTCTTGTTCATAAAGGTGCAGTTGCATTTTACTCATCGACTATAAGCCTGAGCAGCTGGGGATTGTCAGGATTTCTGAGCAGATGGCCTTATGATCCCCCTGTCCCCAGCAGCTCAGGGGGCCTGCCCCGGTCTTCCTTCTGAAGGTGCAGTGGTTCATGGACACGCCACTTGATCCCGTTTGCTCAGGCTGCTCTCTCTCGGCCCACTTCCTGAAGAGGTCTGATTTACCCGTCTCTCCCAAGGCGTAGCCGTGGCGTTGCAGCCCGGAAGTCCCCACATGGCAGTGAGAAACGGGAGTCCCTTTTCCACGGCGGGCCAGAAGCACACACATGCCGTCGCCGGGATACAGGTACACCGCTGGTCCATGGGATGCACCCGCCCTCCTCCCAAGGCTCCCATCCTTCATGGTGGTGTAGATGTCAGGCCGCTCGCCCCCTACCCCTGCCCTCGGCCCCCTGGGCCTCCGATTCTGAGCAGGCAAAGAGCTACCTTCTTTTTCTCATGCTGGTCTCTAGCCGCCCCAGCTCCTCGTAGGACTGGTAGAAGACCTCCATCTCCCTGGACCCCCAGCTCCTCCAGACTGCTAGGCACCACTCCGCGTTTTGGTTCCGAAAACCACACACAACCGTGTCCTTTGCAACCACAGCTGCCCCGACCAGGGTCCTACAGGGGAGAGATATTAGCGTATAGCTTCTTCCTGGGTTACGTAGAGCCCCGTGTCAGACCTCACACCTTTGGCTTAGTGGTGGATATACAGAACAGTGGTAACAAGGGGGGCACTTTTCACTCTCCTACGTCGTTACAAGCTTATAACACGGAGAAATTCCTAATTATATGGGAATGGAAGAGTGCAGGACCTCCCAACAGCTGTTTACGAGTGAATATGGGGGGGGGGGGAGTATAAGCCCCCTTGGAGGACCCCCTGGCCGATGCGCCCATCATGAGCATTAACAGCGGGAGTGTCCTGCGCTGATTGATGACTTCGCCGTGTGGCACACCCACCCACCACGAGGCGTCGATAGTGCTCCAGACTGCGGAGGTGGGACAAAGACTTCCACTATGCAAAATGCATGCGCCCCCCCCTCCCAAGAAAATCTGTCATGAATTGAACAGTTGGTGGAACCTGGAGCAAAATAATTACAGACTGGAGAAAGAGCCACCCGATCAATATGGACTTTCCACAATTATGGGGGAGAAGCGTTTAGCTGTTGCGCTGAAAGATTAGTTTCCCAGCACATCACAAGTGAGGCCATGGCTGTTTCTCAATAATAAACAAAAAAATTATTTAAAAAACATGATATAATCCGCAACATGCGTGCTTGACCATGCTTATGTTCTCGTATACCCATTTTACGTCATCTTAAATTGTTCTTGGTAGAGAAACACCCCTCAGCAGGAACAACAAAGGCATCCTGGGAGCGTGAGTTAGGACAGAGCCCATCTTACCCGAACTGGGTCAGTCCCGGGGCGTGGAGGACCGCAATGACACGTCCCTGGTGCAGCGCCCCCTGCTGCTGCAGCTCGATTACCATCATGTCTCCCCCGTGCCTGCAAAACACAACATGCACAGCTCAGGGGGTCAAAAAAATACAAATACAAATAATAATAAAAAAAACAACACCACATTAACAATTCACAGTATAGAGCAGTATAATGACCCCGGGATGTCATTTCTCCCCCCCCCAATATTTTTCTAAATACATCATGTATTTGTAATACTATAGTTGTTTTTTTATTTTCTCCATATACCAACAGATCCATAATACCATGGGCATTTCTAAAATGATTTAGCTATACAACAAGGCACATCCCAGAATGCCCAGGGCCCTGTCAGTACCTGGGGATCCACACCGTGCCTTTCACGGCCAGCACGGCGAGGGCCTGCAGGTGTGGAGGAGTGTGGCCTTCCAGGGCAGGCTCTGCGATCACCGTGTGGGAGGGACACGCGGGGATCCCGTCCCGCAGCCCGTCAGGCTCCTCAACCTCAGGGGAGGCTGGCACGCTGGAGCTGGCGAGGGAGCTCATGGCCCAGGATCCAGAATGCTCCGTGCGGCAGGGGTGCTCCAGCGAGCAGGCCAAGGAGCTTACGGAGCAGTAGTCAGTCAGAGAGTCCTGGTGACACAGGATCTGTGTGCCGGCGTTCTCCTCGTACAAGATCCTCACTTCCGCCGGGCTGTGTCCCTGCTCGGGGCCATCCTGCTGGGGTGAGGACGGGGGGCTACAGGCCGTCCCTGAAGGCCAGGTTACGCCGAAAGTGTCCCGCAGAGGGCTGGCGTCCCCGCAGGCGTAGGTGGCGCATGGCCTGTAGGTGGCAGCGTGGTACATCAGCAGCGTGTTGGTGTGGTCGTCCAGGCACCAGACTGCCTCCTCGCCCCAGCAAGCTGAGCTGGCGGCCAGGGACACGATGCGTGAAGGCACCCGATACGGCTCGAGCCGGCGTACTGCCTGCAAGGACAGGCGGTCCACCACTAGCAGGCCTGGCCCGTTGGTGTACCAGACCTCGGAGTCGCTGCGCACCAGCGCCATGCTGAGCACCGGGTAGGGCCGCTGCCGCGGGTCCGTGTCTTCCAGCTGGAACTGCGAGCGATTCACCGTGTGGGAACACAGGTAGGTCTCGCCGTCCAGGGGCATGTCGTCACACAGCATGTACACGGCCAGCAGGCCGTCGGCCATGCCCACGAACACCAGTGGCAGGGCCTGCAAAGAGGGGCGAGAGGGGGCAGCAGCAGAAGTGCCCCCAGGTGTCGTCAGCAAAACCGAGCACACCCCGTAGGGTGTGAGGCCGGCTTCTGCATTACGAAACCTGGTCTGGCTTTTTTCTTTCCCCCCCAGAAAATGACCTAATTGACCCAACCTCCACCACCTCAAATGATGTCATTTGATAATATGTCTCCAAATGTAGCAAGCTGTGCCCACACAAATTTCCACCAGCCTTGGTTGAGTCACAATGAAGATTCTAAAAGATTCTGACTGTTGTCTTAAGTATACAAACTTAGGGCTCAGAGGCTGGGACACTGGTCTGGATGAGAACATTTCTTTAAGGGAGGGATAAGCTTCTTGAACACATTCTTGGCACTTGGGCAGAGTGTATAATTACATAAAGTGCTCAGTTATAAAAGCCGGTGGCGTATTAAACAGCTGTGTATTAGACATAGTGGATAAAAAACAGTCCACAGAAAAAGCGGTCAGTACACTTGGGGTGATGGTGCTGAAATCGTCCCAAACAGTGGGTAGGTGGGGAGGCCATTAAACACCCCCCCTCCTGCTAGAAACTCCAGTACACCAAGGCCCCACAGAATGCTATTTAATCAGCACCTTACTGACCCCAGCTGAGGTGATTTACTGGACAGCTAATTAGTTTAACGAAGGGCTTAACGGCTGAATGAACACCATGGGACCCCTTTGGCCCTCTTACCTCTTTTTTGGCCGGCACCAGGAACAGGCACGTGACCACAGCCGGGCAGGCCAGCTGCCGCTGAGGATATCCGAGAGGACACATCTCCTTCAGGCTGTAGATATAGATGTTGTGGTCCTGGGAAAATTGCCATGAGCCCTTGTTACTCAGAGAAGGTGGGGGGGGAGCAGGAAGAGGCTAAGCAGATATTCCGGGGAGTTCTACAAGGCCAGGTGACCGATTTCATGACGTATCTAAATACATTTGTTTTACGTTTTGAGGAAACCCCATTAAACGTGCCCAGCTGGACTTCCACTCAAATCTGTCCACGTATCTCCCTCTGTGTTTGAAAAAGGCTCACTGTGCTAAACACTGTAACATAAATAGGATTATGGGAGCATTTCCCAGAAGCCCACCTCCGTCGCCGTCCAGAGGGTGTTCTCAGTCTTCAGCTGGCAGCTTAGTCTCATTCCAGGACAGGGCATCCTCCTCACCTCCGTCTGACCGTTATCGAGATTCACCACCGTGTAGTTCCTGTGAGACACCATGTAAACTTGCCTCAACCCCTGAGCGATTTCTGCGGCCGCCACCGTGAACACACATGCACTGTGGCCCAGAAAAACCCACCCTGGGTGGGGAGAAAATAAGCAGATCTGGTTTCACTCGTGGTTGGAATGACATCATTACGGGTCAGTGATCAGAGGTTAGAGCAAAGGTGAGCCAAGCATGCAGAGATGAGGGATTCGGCTCTCAAACCGATTGCAGGGAAGGTATCACAGGTAACTACTGACACCTGCACCCAGTGATAAAAGCCCTCTTTTGCAGAACCAAAATTAGCTTTAGATATCCAGAATCCTGGTGCCATGCTCAGCTAGTGAGGTGATTACTCATTCTGTCTGGGAGCTCGCAGAACGATTACCCCGTAGGGCCCTCGTTTTGGGGCTCGATCCACCCATTATGGGTTTCATTACAGCCCGGTCTCTTCGTGAATATTAAGAGTCCGCTTACTCTGCGAGATAAGCACATATCTGCCCCCACGGAGGCAGCACAACTGAAATGATCATTCACGCCTGCCTCAGGTAAATTAACAGCATGCTGAGGTGATAGACCACGTTTAACCGTCAAATCCAATTATCTACAGGACAGTAATGAGCATTATCAGGGCTAGTCAGCCTCAAGTGGGCCTCCCCAGGCAGGACCGCGTCTCCAGCCGGGCGGGACTCGCGTACACACCTCTCATCCTTCTCCCCGTCCCAGAACACAGCGCTGTGGCCCTGCTGGCCAGGCAGAAAGAGCTGGTCATGATTCTCACAGGACAGCAGGTACTTGAAACAGGGAAAACTGGGCTCCTGCATCTGCCGGAGAAGAGGGGCAGCCAGAGGGCGCTGGAGCAGGGAAGGCAGGATAACGGCAATCAGTGACAGCAGGAATGCGAGCTCCTGCGGCGAATCTTCATTATTATCCCCTGCCACAATCTACAAGCCTGTAGCATTACTGCGGGGGGCGCTCTCACTTTCTCTGGCTTGGTGTCCCAACATTCCACCATGAGGCTCTGCAGACAGTGGAATTGCACCTCCTCCGGGCTGCCCAGTGTCGGCCTCACACCCTTGGACAGCTTCTTGGCGATCTGGAGTTGGTGCTGGCCCAGGGCGGGCCTGCGTCCGGACAGTAGCTCGTATAAGACCATGCCGTAAGAGAACATGTCCACCTGCAAGCCGGAACAACACTCAAGTAACCCGGGGTGGCGGAGTCTCACAGAATAGACATCAGCATCCCCCTAAAATTACCACCGATTGTGTTCTGGAAGGAAAGCATTTCTCAATGAATTACAGAAAGGAATTTCAATGGAAATGATGACCTTCATAACACCGGGTCCAAAGGCAAAGAGCCTGCAGTATGATTAACCGCCACTTGGAGCAGCAACAGACATACCATAAAAAGGCTAATCGTGGGACTGCGGGGCGGCTCAGAGGAGAAGTCCACTAGTCTCTGATTACATCATGCACCAAGCATGTGAAACATTTTAAGGTCGTAGAAAGAATTTCTAAGAAATGGTTCATTAATAACAGGCTGAATTGCTACACGGAGCGAAAAATAAAGTCGATTCCTGTTTATTTGCAGTGTAAATAACATCGATGTTTGCCCAGTCGACAAGTTTACTCAGAGTGATTTGCAAACGCTTAGCATTTCATTGTAAATATGAAGTGAGCAGCTTAGACGATTTTATTGCGAAGTTAAGGGCTACCTGGGACAAGGTTACTGACCCAGAGTCCTATGTGTCACTAGCGGAGGCTCAAAATATTACACCACCTTCTGTCAAAACTCAATTAGAGTCTGCAGAGGGCATCAAAGTAAGGCGGGGGGAAAGTACACAAATCAATGCACCGATTTTAATCTGCGAGGTGGATATATTTTCCCAAATGCTTCACCGGCTCTAATCTCTCAGCGAGCATCTCGCTGCAAAGGCAATTTATAGAGGAAGCACTCATCGAGCCGCTCTGGGGGAGCGTCTCCGGGGAACACGGAGCCGGCGATTCAAAGCCAGCTGAGTTTCTGACTGGGAACAGTGGAGGCCAGATGTGTAACAAGCACGGAAATACAGAATCCGGAGAAAACAATTGACGAAAATAAAAAAAATTTAAATAAAGCCCTGTATCTGTTTGAAGCCTTCGGTTAAATCAGGTCTTGGCACGATACTAATATCGGGTACCAACATCAATAATCCTAGAGCCTCTCATCTCCCCAAGCAGGTCCGAAGGCTCCCCCCCCCCACCACATTCCACAACATACACCATAAGATGGTGGCCGGTACCTTCTCATCATACACGATGCCAGGCTTGATCTCGGGGGCCTGGTAGCCTGGGGTGCCCTCCACCCCCAGCGCCCCCTCATGGAAGGACTGACGAGAGATGCCATAGTCCGAGAGCTTGATGTTCACCGGCTGGCACACCTCCAGCGACCAGACCAGGATGTTGTCGGACTTCAGGTCACAGAAGATGATGCTCTTCTTGTGCAGGTAGGCTAGGCCGGCGGCGATCTGATAGGCCGCCTTGAAGGTAAGCATATGCCCCAGGGGCATGTAGCGCACGCCTGGGGAGGGCGACAGACAGCTGTGGGTGACAGCCTTTCAAAAACATTTGAATTTGATTTTGACACATTATCTGGGGGAGGCGGCTGGAAAATCAGCACAACATCTAATAGAGCGCCACGTGAGAGGCGTTACCCTCCTCACTGTGATGGCCCTGAATGAGCATTATCACATGTGTAACTTACCAAGCAAACAGCAAACAAACAAGCAAATGAAAAACAAGCAAAACAAACAAGCTGTTGAATGAACGTGTCTGACAATGAACAGCAGGCAAGAAAAAAAAAGCGTATGGGGCGAGCTGCCTGCTGTACCTTTGGCCCGCTCTTCCAGCACACTGTTGAGGCTGCCCAGTGGCGCCAGTTGCAGGGCGAAACAGAGCGGGTGGATGCTGATGCCCAGAAGTGCGACAATGCAGGGGTGCTGCAGCGTATGCAGCATGCTGGCCTCCTGCCGGAACTCCGAGAAGGTCCTGCTGGCATCCACGGACTGCAAGTGCTTCATCATGGTGTCTGTGTGGACACAGGCATCCCCAGCACGGCAAAGAACCCCGTTAATCGGCAAGTTATACAGGCTGACAAAAGCAAGTCAAATATACTCTGGTTGTTTTGAATACATTTTAACTCCCAGACATACTGGACAGCCGGCAAAACAGCAGTGTTACAACCTGGTGAACCCACTATATGTTTTGGCCGGGAAATAAAAGGCCCCGTTTCCGCCTGCCTGAGTTACAGCCGGAGCTGATCTCGACCGTTAAACCCCGGGCTTCAAGCCCAGTGGCCAACAGGCTGCTCTGAGTGGCACTAAACCCCTACGAGAGGTGTTGGATTTCAAAAAGAAAGAAAACAAGGTCCTTTCATGCCCCCGTAGATCACAAAACAAACGGGTCAGAGCCACCCCCGAACAGTAGCTCTTTCAGCCCAGCCCAGCCAGGTTCTGCTTGGCCTCTGGCCAGTGACCTAGGGGGCAGACCCTCTGGGCTCGTAGAGTCTCTCAGCATGAGACCCAAACCAGCAGGTAGTCATCCCCTCCCCCTGATGTAACTGGAAACGGTTTACAAGGTAACGTTTGGCTTCACCAAAACCCAGAGCTTAAATAGCTTACAGTACAGTGTAATTTCACCCATGGCTCATAAATCACCTAGGAGGTATTCTGTGACTGAGCAAATATAGAAAGTGTTTTTGTCCCAGCAGGAGGAGGAAGTGAGATTCGTACAGGTCAATGAAACAAAAAACGAAAGATGGGTAAAACTGGAAGCTCCACCAGATCCACACCCGCAAAAAAGAAAAAAAAAAAAACTACCTTCTTGACTTTTAATGATGACATATGGTCTTTTGTGTTATATAATCTTCATATTTTGCGAAGGCAGCAATCGGCTCACAAGCGAGGGCTACCGCTTGCACATAGTGTGTTATTGGCAACACAAACACAATCAGCACGACGTCTACCAGAGTGCCACGCCAGAGGGGTTACTTTCCACACCGTGTTGGCCCAGAACAAACATTACTACAAGTATAATTTACCAAGCAAACAAACAAAACAAACAAGCGCTTGAATGAACGTATCTGACAACAAACAGTCGGCAAGAAAAAGCAGTATAAATATTTACTTAGCACATCCTGCAGACTTGCAGGGTCATTAAGTTGCTTAATGCTTCTCTCAGCAAGGTTTTTACAAGCCTGTCTCCAATGCCCTCGTTAATGAGGACGAGGGACGTATAATAAAACAGCTTAAAAAATAAAATAATAAAAAGTGAAAGCCTTTCAGATAGGAAAAGGCAATTAGTGCCGCACGACACTGATTTGCGTTGTTATTGGGAACAGGGGTGAACGAGAGGGGGCGTTCCAGAAACCATGTGGCTGTCGGAGGGAAACGGCAAGGGAAGGCCGAAGGCGGACCACACTGTGCCGTGGGACGGGGGGTGTAATGAGGGTATAGGATGAGACAGGAAGTGAGAGAAAGAGAAGACGACAGCGGGGGAGGGAGGGAGGGAGAGAGGGATTAGGAGAAAATCACAAACACCAGAGAGGGCCAGCTGTGGCTTGCATACTCGTAGCCACACACTCGCAGCTCGCACAAGACCCGATTATGAGGGAGGCCCCACAGCTGGGTGGCGGCCTGCTGTGTTAAAGTGCCCCTCAGCCCCAAAGCACAGCAGTCAGCCACCAACACGATTACAGCCCTGCCTTCAGAGGGCAGGTCACCTGGAGTGATACAGTGAAAGACCAGGTGGAGGAGCTGCCGACTGTAGCTTGCCTTCGATCTTGGTGAGCTGTTACTTCGGAGGCGTTTGTGGGGAACTACATTCCCCTCTTCAGTGGGAGTGAAGACACCGGCCCAAGCAGCCCCACAAAACTAGTGTATTCTGTTATTGATTTGCTTCGGGAAACCGAGGTGGAGGGTACTTTACAGCTTGCCTATAGGACCACGGGTCACCCAATGGCTGTCAAGGGGATGTTGGCTAAAGAAGCCAATGACCATTTGTTACAAAACTACCACGCAAGCCAGAAAGACCACCCCCCCCCCCCCCATTAGGCCCCACCCACTTATACCTGTGCGATAGGCCAGGGACAACTGTCGGCACTTTTTGAAGTGGAAGCGCTTGATGGCCACCAGCTCGCCCCGGTACTTGGCCCGGTAGATGACAGTCCCACTGCCCCCCTGGCCCAGGATGTCCTGCTCCTCCCCGCTGCACTCCAGCTGCTGGTTCTCCAGGAACAAGCTGGAATAGAGTTCAGAGGTTTGTGGTGTGTGATCTCCACCTCCAACTTACTGCCACATCCACAAGGCTGCTACAAAGATCCTTGCTGATCTTATGTAGCTTGTCTTATTATCAAATCGTTACCGTGACTTAATATAACCCAACGTCGATTTGTGGCCTGGCCATAATGATAACTCGTTTGGTTAGGAGTCCCGTTAAGACCTGTGCTGGAACTCTCTCCAAATGCAAATGCGAAAGCTAAATAAACATTTCAATCCCAAACACTAACAAACACTAGAAATCCTGTTTCCCATCCGATCCGCCAGCCAGAATTAATAACGTGTATGCAAGGACACACAGATATGGCTATTTTTTTTAGATTAGCTGGTGGCACCGACAATCCAAGAAAGCAGTATTCAGTCAATATTTTTCTGCTTCCTCAGGATTAGGGAATGTTTGTGTAAGAGAATATCTCAGGCAACTGATTATGCTGATCTGTGAATTGGGCTGCGTGTTCTCGTCCGTATATCGCTGGCGTGAGCCAGGGCAGGGGCAGGGCATGGAGGAGTTTCCATCAGAGGCGATTTCAATCAGCGCGGATTTCAAACCAGCTTAGTAATCTGCTACAAAAATGAACCCCTCCTCTCCTAAGATGGGTGAAAAGTATGAAGCGTCATGGAAACTATTCATGCTGACTCAATGAAAGTCAGAGGACCATAAACTTAACTCAACCGTGTGGGTGCATGTGGAACGTGTCCATGACACATGACTCACAAACACACATCCACACACACTTCGACTTGGCAAAGGCAGACACTTGGAAACGCAAAATCTAGCCAAGCTTTCCAGATATGGCAGCCACCCACATTGATGCAGCATTCACACAAACACCAAGGGTGCTAATCCTCTGCACCAGGTACCCTACAATTGGTAACAAAAATGTGACACTTTCCCTTTTCCATTGATTTCCAGGCAGGTACCAGTACCAAAAGTACCAAACCAGCTGGGGTACTTTTTCCAGTACTTTGGGGTGGGACTCCCAAACACAAAATAACCTGCAAATAACCATGCAAATAACCATGCAAATAACCTGCCTCACAAACACAAAATACATCTGCCATCCTAAAAAAAGTGTAGTTACAAAACAATAAATTAAATTTAAAAAATATATATATAATGAATGCCTGGAAAGAGACCAAAGCTTTAATTGTGATCTGGTCGGAATAACAGATCAAACAAGACATGGATGGAATGACAAGAAATAAAGAATTTGCTGTAATACACTAGGGCTGCACAATATTGGAAAAATTTCAAATATTGCAATGTGATTTTCTTGCAATAAATACAGAGATATTTATACCGCAAAAAAAAAAGTTCAAAGTAAATAAATTTCTCACAAAACTGTCTAGGAATTACTTAAACAACAAAACAGGAAAATGATTATGATTGTTTCAGTGCATGCAGGGCTCATGCAAAAGCAATGGAGGTATACTTCAAAGTGATTTTGTTAACGTATTCCAGATAATATTGAAAAATCAGTAAAATCGCAACGCTTGCCAAGTTGTTTCCTATGATGGAGTTAAAATGTTTTCGCGAAACTTAAACCCCAGCGTTCAGACAGTATGAAGGTAAAAAGTGTGAAAAAGCCTGATCTCAAATCAGCTGACTATCATGGTCCTTAAGATGTATGGATTGCATGGGTATAACATGTGGTGCAGGTATTAATATTACACATCCCCCATCACCCAGCCCAATATTCTTATTACAGCCATTTTTGAAATTCAGTACAAAATACCCCGACATGCGTTGTGATGATGTTATTCAGCGGCTATACCAATTTTTACGCCAGTGGAAAATGGACGTAAGAAGTAACACTCTTCTGGTACTTTTCTGAAGTACCAAAAGTAGAGTACTTGGTGCAGTGGAAAAGTGGCCCAAGTGTAGAGAAACAGAGGCCTTTGGATGGTGGTGGTGGGGGGGGGGGGTTGTTACCGTGCAGGGAAGTCTGTCATGAAGAGCTCAGGTACCAGCTCCTGCAGGGGGACAGGCTGCTGTGGGTGGTTGGGACACACAACATGCTCCTTCTCCACCGCAGCCAGCACGCAGTCTGCCATGTTGAAGAGGTGCACAGCACCTGACCGCGCCTCCCGGGGTCCTGCTCGGGCCGCTGGCACACAGATGGAGCACGGTGCGTACTGCTCCATGAGCAGCGAGCCATCGTTCTCGCTGGCCGTCAGTGCTGCACATGAAAGCACTCTGTCAGAACAGCATTTAATTGCTGAACAGCAAAGGGCTTTATATCAATGACATATCCCACCCCCAAACATAGGCCTTCTCAAAGGAAAAGTGGGATCTCACCGGGAAACCACTGCTCGATCAGCGAGTTAACGTGATCCGTGATGAAGGCCATGGCTGAGAAGTCACGCATGTCTGACTGACAGATGATCTTAATGCCACCACTCTTCTTCTGCTTCCAGTTGAGGTCTGACGACTCCACACTATGAGGGAACAATGCCGGCAGTGAATCAACCACCGCCAGCGCCACGCCATGATTATGCCAAAGCTTGTGAAGCTGAGACACTGACTTATGAATCAATAAGGTACCACCATCCTGTCACTCAAGCCAAAGCTGAAAGCTAACAGAACAGAACACTAACAGAATACAAAGTTATGAAAGTGACTCTTTGTGGGTGAAGATATCTGTTTAAGGGTGAAGGCTAGCGATACAGAGCTGAACCCCGCTCACCTCAGATAACCCCCGTCGAAGGTGACCAGAAGGCCCTCTTTCCAGTAGATAGTCTGGCTGCGACGGACTCTAAATGTGCTGCACCGATTCCTCTGCTGGTTACCGGCAAAGCTGTAAATAACCGAGTTACGGTTTCGGAGGTTTTTCGAGTTTCTCTTGCTTTCAAAAGTCTGGGGGAAAAACAAAGAAAAACTAAACTAAACTGTAGGGATTCCAGTAAAATTTGTTGCTGTGTTGGTTGAGTTTTTTGCTGAGGCCCCATCCCCTATGGCAATATAGCGGAATACCTGGAGGTCCATCTCTGTGAGACTTATCAGCATCCTGGCAATGAAACGTTCCCAAAAGCCAGCAGGCACGAAACTCATCTTAAACAGTCTCTGGATGGTATTGGTGGTCTGCTGCCGGAAGCAATGTATGTCCATGGCAGGCTTTGGGGGCAGGAGGTGAGGTAGCAGGTAACTGTGGATTTGGAAATGGTACATCTCACAAAAAGCCAGGTAGAAATCTCAGCATTCGTTTGTATGGTTAACCTAAGGCAAAAGCTCCTCTCAAAAAATGGAATCTGATTAGAGGAGCCTGTCATTATTAATTTATTGTAGTTGCAGCTCGAGAAACAGAGTTGCAAGGTCCAACCTGTTATTAGCCACGGGCAGGGCGATCTCAAACTTGGCCAGGAACTGGAAGTACTGCTCCTCCGTCTGCTCTGTGAAGCCAGTGCCCACCAGCAGCATGCGCAGGTCCTCAGCGCGGATGACGCCATTCCGCGCCACGGAGCGCGAGCTCTTGATGTTGATGATGCGCTCAAGGCACTCGGAGAGCCACTTGGCATCCAGAAAGTAGAGCTTGCAGAGTCCGTGGCTGGTGTCCGGAAAGTGCAGCAAGGTGCCGGTCTCGATCAAGAAGCCAATGGCTGCCGGTGGGGGGGGGGGTCACAGTTACAGTAGGATTAACCACACCACAACAAACTCGGTAAGATCGATGCCACTATCCCTCAAAAGCTTCTTCCCAGGGAAATCAAGGGCCAGCCCAAATCACTAGCTACCTTATTTCACAAAAAGTTGAAAAGCTGGACTTCTGTTACAAGTAATAGCTTTGCAGTACATGGCTTAAACATTGTTCAGTAAAACAGGAAGTGACTGATAACGACGCATCTGTATCTAGATATTGTTCAGATACGCTTAACCCTTGGGGGTCTAGGGGTAGGGAACACACCTTCACTGACTGGAGCATGGTCACACATTTCATTCAATATCAAACTTACTTCATGGCAAATTATTTCTTATACATCTGTTTTGGCATTAGACTCATCTTAATCTTAGTGTACTTTGTAAATATGTCAGATTTAAGTTTGTAATTTGACATCAAAGTATAGACATTGCAAAATGCAGTTTGGAACACTTGCAGAAACATTATACAAGTACATAGTAAGCAATGGTGGAAGTTTGTTTTGATCCCAGATATCTGATCAGCAAAGTCTTGGCTACATGAAGATGACTAAATGGTGTAGCTGCAACATTCAGTTGGATAAATAAGAAAAAGCTCATGTCACTTTTTGGCTCCTTTCATGGAATGTGTAGCAACTTTCATGTGTATGCATGAGCCATTCACACTTGGCCACACCCCCCCCCCTTTTATGGCGCTGATGGGGATGTACAGTATATGCGATAATGCGGCTACTTAGAATGTGAATAGCGATCTTCGGGTGAGAGCAGCACTACACACCCCCGATGCAGGTAAAACAAAGTAAGGTGACATGGTTTACTTTTTTGCCAATTTAATTTTAAAAACTTTAGTACAGTGGTACCTCAGTTCTCGAACTTAATCCGTTCAGAACTCCAGATCGAATCCTAAAAAGTTCGCGTTTTGATCAAATTTTCCCCATAAGAAGTAATGGAAAACCAATTAATTGGTTCCCGGCCCCAAAAAATTACACCTAAACGTTTTTTTTAGCATTTAAACACAAAATGAACCGGACAAAACAAGAAGAGCATATACTGTACTAAAGACATCTAAGCACATTTATCAAAACAGTAATTTGTAAAGTAAGAAAATAAATGTATCCAAACAATGTGTCCTGCTCCGATGGTCCGTTCCTTCCGTGTGCCACGCCCCCTCGTTAACCCCATGTGGAATCCCCGTGTGATCAGCTGTTTCTGGTTGTTGTCATTAGCCCTCTATTTCGTCCGCGTTTGAGTTTGTTTCCCCAGTCCGGTCATTGTATTGTCCGTCTGCGTTTTGCTTGCCTTACCTGTAATTAAACCCCGTATTCCCAGATACCCTGACATCTGCGCCTTTGTCTCCGTTCCATCCCCGCTCGGCACGACAATATTCTTATAATTAAACGTATTAATGGTTTATTATTAATATTAAAATAATTAATAAGAAATCTTTATTTTTAAATGTATTTTATTATATAACAATAATTACTGTTACTGTCTATCATTGTCTAAATGTATTTTTACTGTCTAAATATATGTATTCAGCTAGTGTAAACATGCACGATGCTATCACAGCGAATGCGAGGCTGAGACTGAAGCTTTACCCTTTGTTTCCGCTGAGAGACGTGCCACGTGACTCATTTCCCCACGCGTACAAGTTCTTAGGTCGGCGTTCACGGTTTGACTTCTGAGATTCAGATCGAGTTCTAGGTCATTTTTTTCCCAACTGGTTGGTTCGACTTAAGAAATTCAAGTTCTAATGAGTTTGAGAACTGAGGTACCACTGTACTTCTGACAATGGACGTTTTGAAAAGACGACAGATTATGGATTTAATCAGCATTTGTTTCTATAATAAGATTTCAGCGAGTTATGAACTGAAATACACGAGAAAGATATGCGGCATCGCCGACGATGTCATCGACTCCAGAGGGTTAAACAAGCTAACTACCTTGACCTGGTCTAACAGAATAAAAGGCCTGTTCAAATGGACAGAGTGCTAACAGCTTTGACAGCCAGGACTCCTAGTTAAATTTTAAGACGGCATGTTACCGGTTTGGAGGTCCTCATAGTCCTTTATGTCACTAGCTGGATTCTCCTCAATGATCTTCTCCAGCTCTAGGTCAGTGAGGTACTGCACCTCATCCTCTGCATCCCGCCTTTGCTGCTCGGCGATCACAGCGTCCTGCAGCAGGAGGTAGCTTTTCGGGATCTGTGGGTTGCAGAGAGGAACCTCAGTGAGACACAGCCGAGCCCAATACTCATATGTAATCCACAAAGCAGACATCTCCACCAGATACCCACAGAGATCCACCATCACCCATCATGCCCACAAACAAGACCTACTACTCAGGCAAGGCCCATCAAATTCCTCTCAATAACCAGCAATTACCAACCACATTCCACTGCATACTGAATATACGTCCTCCTGAAACCTACCACCACCCTTTAAAGCCCACTGCTGCCAGATGGCACCCACCAGTCTCCCCACCAGCTTGTGGCCGCTGGAGGAGGTGCTGACGTCCTTCATGGTGCAGGCCACTTGGTAAATGAGCCTCTTCAGGCCATCCAGGCCCTCCGATGTCTTACAGGACACCTCACTAAGGGAGAGAGCAGGAGGCGAGGACTCAGGGACGGGCCACACACGCTAAGGTCAGGGAGCTAAGGCCCAGCGGACACTTACTGCAGGTGCTTGCAGGTGACGTCCGGATAACCGCTGGCCCTGGCACCGGATGGCGATCGGCACAATGCCAGGATGTAGGCGCGCAGCGTTGCAATCCTCTCTATGCGGAACTTTGTGTCAATGAGGTCGAGGTGTGTGCCAATCACTATCACAGCAGAATTAGGGGCACTGGCCTGTCAGGGCCACACACACACACACACACACACAGACAGAGTGACATCTTGCACAAGAAACAAACGGAAACAAAGAAAATAAAGAATACACTGAACTATTGTCCCTGCAGTTAAGCAGCTTGTCTGACTTCTGAATGAACTAGCTAATTCAACTGTATTGTGTGGGGTTGAATACTGTAGTATTCTCACAGAAAATGGTGAGTCAGCTGAACTAGTGACCCTTAATTACCCGTAATGTGTGACTGTGTCTGTCCTGTGATGAACTGACACTCCCCACTAGGATGTCCCCTGCCCGAGACAACCCTGTACTGAATGAGAGGTTAAGGAACAGTTTAGGTCGACTAGAATAATCACATATAGTATGGCATCCAGGGGACCGGCACACGAGCATGGAGCGTCAGCGCACCACCTCCCACCCACAATGCACCACTGTAGGAGAGGGCAGCGGGGAAAGCCCTGCCCAGAGCGCGCCGGTGGGCCCCCGTCCTCACCTCAATGTTTAACAACCAGGACTGCAGGCTGGCCACCGCCTCCTCTCCCAGAGCCAGGTTCCAGATGACCACATACAGCGCCTTGTCCGTGAAGAAACACTGATTGACTGTGGACATGCTGGCCGGCCCTCCCACGTCCCACACGTTGAACTCCACTGAATCCATCTATTCACCGCGGGGGAAGAACAAATGTCTCTGTCAGTCGATGGGCGGTGTCCACGCCATCACAGTCAGCAGGGAAGCTCGACGACCCCTCTGGACCGTCACCCGGAACCTTCACAGGAACCTCCTTCATTTACAGCCCGCCTCGGGTTTTCATGAACTCCACTCTCCTACACCGTTGGCCTAGACCATTAATATATCGTCACCATAGTAACACTCCCTTCCTGTTCAGTCCTCCGATTTGCTCCCCTTAATTTAGTTCCTACAAAACATACACAAGTCTCCCTCCATCATATGCATTTAATTTTTATAGCTACTATTTAATCTTACAACTGCAGTTCTTGTTGCTACATACACACACACACACACACACACACATTATAGTAAATTACATTTTTTGTTGTTCTTTGTTTCTTCTATGTTGTCAAACTGTCTCACACATTACATTTTGCTGCAATAAAGCTTTTCAATTCAATTAAAATTTTTAAGAATAGCTGCTTAAGAATAACCAAACAAACAATACTGCCATGGACTCAAGGAACTTTCATATGGGGAGGGTGTCTATGCTTCAATTCCCAAGGGCCACCAGTTAACCCTTCACCTACGTCACTGTGTCCAGATGACACACGCACATATATGTGGGAGATCCTATTATACAGGCCCACTGTGCCTGAAATCTGCACCACCACACCAAGGACTCTAGCTAATGTTGGTGCCATTAACAAGCCACAGCTCACTCAGGCTCATGTTCCACCCCCCCCCTCATATACAACTCATTTTATAGGCAATAAATTTTCACCACCGTACAGATTTAGGGTGGAAAAGGCAGATTGCGGAATGACTGACTAATTGCGTCCCAGGACCATGGAGGCCGGGCAACACTCTATACTGACCCTGAAGACACCCAGTGGGCTAAATAAAGTCATTCTGGGAAATGACACAAATGGGGGCGACAGAAAGGTTACTGCCAGATCACCGCTATTCCAGCAGCTCCACACCCAGTAACACGGCCCTTTGTCTGGGGAGGGCAGACCGGTGGTTTTAAAAGGTGGCCTACTGACAAGACGATGAGCGTGAGAGGTGCTACAGCAGAGAGGTCTGTCTGCTTAACCGCTGCACCATGTTCTCTGCCGCTTGGGCACCAAACTGCCTGCTATCACAAATACACAGCGACTGCCTGCACCAGGGCAATGTTGGTACAGCAGCACAGGCAGTGGGGGGGGGGGGGTTCAGGGCGGTATCTCACAGTGGCTTTGACCCCGCTGGGCCGCTCCAGCTCCCACGTAGATGTCCTGACGCTGCACTCTTGGGCGAGAAACTGCCCGGGCCGACCGGTCTGCAGGCCCTCCAGGAGCGTGGTCTTGCCCTGCCGGGGTGGCCCCACCACAATCATCTTCAGCATCTTGCAGCGTTCTGCCTTACGAAGGTGAGCCCTCAGGAAAGCCAGTACGGCTGCAGGGCCTGAGGAAGAGAGGTGGGGGCGGGGTTAGGGGTGGGACAGCAGGCAGTCTTACTGATGAGGAATATATAAAATAGTCATGGTATGACGTAAGATAGCGATTAACAGGAACATTAAAACAGGTTGTGACCAAAGACAAGAGAACAGACAGTCCCAGTTTAATAGACCTTCTTTTATTATATCATTCAGATCTGGCCTGCACACATTCATCTGGTCTGGCCTACAGGGTGTTGGTGTTCCTTTCTCTCGATGGCACAATATTTGCTCATCGCCAAGAGCTCTCTCAGCCAGCCGTGGCCAACATGGGGCACCTAGATTGGCATACCTTCACGCCGCACCTCAGCTGGGATGTTGCTGATGCTCAGATCCTCAGTGTCGAGTTGCCAGAGGTTGGACAGCAGCCCCAGCTCTGCCGGTAGCTCCCGAATGCCAGGATTGCTGCAGAGAAACTCATCTGGGCTCAAATCGCCACAGCCAGCAGCCCAGGCTCCCGAGATGCCCAACATCATGGCTAGTACAATTACTGCTAGTCCACATTTGCATGGCCCAGTCCAGACACACTGTGTTCTGAGAGGTCTCTGCGGAGGAAGCCATTGGACTCACTTGGACAAATAGAGCTCAGAGAGATTTCTCAGGGTGCACACTGACTGGGGCACACACTCCAGCTGGTTGTCACTCAGGAGAAGCACTTCCAATGAGTCCCGCAGAATTATGGGAAATTCTATGGGAGACACTGCCAATGAGACAGCAGGCATATGATGAGTTTCAGAGCCTGAATCCAGAGATTAACCAACAGGGCCACGCTCTGGTTCTGTCCAACACGAACACTCCAGATGAATGAGTGAGGTTCATTTACCTGGTTCTGGGTCCCTCCTGCTCCAGGTAGTGAAGAAAGGGAGCTTCCTGGTCTTTGTTCCTGTGTCACTCCTAGAACAGGTCAGTTTTGCAAATTACTGCCAAAAAAACGTATTTACTGTAAACATAGAAATAGTACCGCAATGAGGGAACTGCAGAAACGATCGTTTAATCTTACACCCGCTGATTTACGCATGGATGCTCCTGTAAGTGACCGGCACAGGGACCATGGTGGGGGGGGGGGGGGGACGACTTACCTGTATTTGCCTAGCTGGTTCCTGGAGAGATCGAGGTTCTTCAGCTGGGAGCACTTCCACCTGTCGGCTGCTGGCAGGGAGGAAAGCTGGTTACCGCAGAGCTTCAGGGAGACCAGGCCCTGCGGCAGGAACAGGTGGCCATGTTCAGTGTCACCATAGGCAGAGATATTCATGACATTCGAGGACACGAGAGAAAGATCTAGGGAGGCCAGCCCAAACCCCCACAACATCAGGAGCCAATTTCATGGCTCAGTCACCTTTGGATGAATCCCTGTATACCATCTAATACACATGTAATAAAAACTTCAATATACCTCAAACATTTCTCAATCATTCAGCAAAGTTTGCAAAGTAATACGTGTCATGCAATCTGATCAAGACTGAAACGTACAATCCTACCAGCTTTCCTGCTCGAGCTTCACTCCTACCCCCACCCACCATGTACCCATCACTGCCCTAGCAGTGTGATGTGAAACACAAATACGCCATCTTGTGGAGAACCAGAATTCATGCTTCAATCCCACTCAGAGTAGGTGTGTTCATCAGTAAGGTTTTCTGCGCTTCCTGTGTGACCAGACTTACTTCTAGCTCAAAGATGTGCGGCGGTAGCTCTCTGAGGGTATTCTCCGAGAAATCCACATCCTTCAGTGTCTTCCAGAACATGGAGATGGTGTTGGGGAGGAACTCAAGCGCATTGGAGGAGGCCCTGCAACACTTCTGCAGAGTAGGAGAGTCACAGGACTGTCAATGTGGCACCTCCATCTCAGACGGAAGCTGTCAGCAGGGCTGCTGTAAGTCAAACACAACTGCAAACAAAGGGCATCAAATTTCATTCCTAATTCCATGGCCTGTCTAGACTAGTGTTTCCCAACCCGGTCCTTAGGGACCATCAGACACTCCAGGTTTTTGTTCCCTCTCAGCTCCCTAATGGAAAAAATGTGCACTGTCTGACAAGGAGCTGGGAGGGAGCAAAAACATGGAGTGTCTGATGGTCCCTAAGGACCGGGTTGGGAAACACTGGCCTAGACAATCTGGCAAAAATGTGCAACCCCCACATAGAGGAGGTGGGATGCAAACCCCCTAAACCAGTTTTGTTGTGAAGCACTACCCACACATTCCACTACACCATCAGCAGCACTACAATTTAGGTGAGACCTGGCACGTACCAATGGGCAGGCCCACGGCTCAGGAAACTGGCTCAGCTTGTTTCTGCACACATTGAGGCTGACGAGTGACTTGAGGCAGTGCAGGATCAAGGTGGGGAGGACCATCAGGCCGTTGTCGGACACGTCCAGCTCCTCCAGCTTGCGCAGGCCAATCCAGTTGGTTCCTGAGAAAAAGAGAGCGAGAGAGAAGAGAGCTGTGAATAGGGCACTGAACTGGACTCTTATCAGGCAGCAAACACATATTTAGACGCACAAGTGTCAGTAACTCAGCCGCGGAATTTGGGGTTCAGAGCCACAGCTGAAGTTCTGGGAGCAGAACAATCAATTAATACTGAAAAAAAAATACGGCAATGCAAATCCTTGTGGTTTGACCCATTCCTACAAATGCATGCATTACACGTAAAACAAAATCTCCAGTTTCAAAATCCAAAATGCAGGAGTACCCAATCTTATCCACAAAGGGCCGGTGTGTATGCAGGTTTTTGGGATAACCTATAGGTCAGCTGTTCAAACCCAGTTCTGAGGACTCTTCAGCCAATCAGTCCTCTAATTAGTAATCTAATCAGGAAGTTGCAGCGAAAACCCGCATACACACCGGCCCTTTGCGGATAAGATTGGCCACCCCTATTCTAAGCCATTCATTTAAAGCCCCAGGGGACAAAAGCAGATTCCCTCCCAGGATCAAAGACAGGAACTATTCTGCTGACTGCACTATGCTTTTACCCATCATGCCCCCTGCTGTCCAGCATGCATCAGATGGACCTTTTGCTCGGCAATCTCGTAAAGCACTGTACCGTTGGGTATCTCAAACAGGGAGGTCAGCTGGTTCTTGGTGGCGATCAGCTTCTGAAGCCTTGTGAGATGCAGCAGGCCAATGGGGAGGCTGCTCAGCTCATTCTGAGACAGGTTGACCTCGCGCAACCTTCAGAACGGAGAAACCAAAACCAGGGGGGTTAGCAAGATGAGGAGCATCGTCAGTCCAAGTGGCACGGGCCAGGGACACACTGACCACAAGGGGGCAGTCTCTGTTCTCAGTCTCGTTACAGAAGGAAATTTGGGTATGATAAGTCACCCCAGTTTGGTCTTCGGATGTAAATTGGAGGACCCGGACCCGGAGATGCCGACCCCTTTGCTGTGCGTAGCTGGTACTTAAATAACTTTTTATAAAAGGGCAGTAAATGGAAAAAAAGGATGAATCTGTTATCACATGTGAAGATGGTATGTTGGCTTAGGGGAAGTGAATATTTCAGAAGGCTCCTCGGATGGAAGAGTGCAACCCCTGGCCCACGCGGCTGGCTCACTGGCTGCAGATGATCTCCTGGGAGGACCGTGTGTCTGGAAGCTCCTTCAGCTGGTTGCTGGAGAGGTCCAGGGTCTGGAGGTGGATGAGACCCCAGGGCACGACAGAGGGCAGGGAAGACAGGCTATTGGAGGACAGGTCCAGCTGGGTGATTCGGGACGAGAGGTCCATGAACCAGTCCAGGTCCAGCCATGGAAGCTTCAAGCCACACCAACGGATGGAGAGAGCCTGGTCAGACACACAGATAGGACAAGACAGGGGGCCCACAAAACTCATTACAGCAACAACACACACCTCTACACATACCAGAAACAGCAAGGCATTATGGGAAGGAAAAACTGCCTCGCATTATAAAACAACACATAAGGTTTCACCAGGGTTATGCGGTCTGCAAAATGTTCCCAGTAGCTAAGACAGTCAGGGAAATTTTGCTCTTATTTTTCCATTTGAACAGTACAAGTCCTAAATGAATGGTACATTTGGCATAAGGCTGCATTGGCAAAAAGTAGGTGATGTGCGCTTTGAGTCTGCATAGCTGAATCTGTGACCAGCTCTACAAACTGGTGCGTTCTGCGTTTCTTGGACCCAAATGGTCTATGACCTGAGGTTACGGTCTGGTTCACTCCCCCCCGCCAAGCCTGTTCAGCTTCATTTTTAGCTGGGACAGCAGTTTTCTTTTCTCACTACCCCCATTAACCACATGGAGGCTGCAGTTTTCCCCTAATAAAGATCCAGATTATGGTCAGGAGCAACATGGTTCTGTCTGTGGTCCCCCGTCTCATGTTTGCGGTCACATAAGACGACAGATTTAGTCGACCCGTGTGCTAGAGAATGAGCTCAGCTCCTGAGCAGACCTAAATGCTAAAGGGCGGTACAGAGATTACTGGAAACCCCGCAAGTTTCCTAAATGATGGATTTTACAGAAGGCAGTAAGAGTAGCAGCCGTGTTAACACACATGAACACGGAGGACCATGCGCCACCATGTCAGAGTGAGAGGAGCCCGGGCTCCCCGGAAGGAAACAAGCCCCCCGTACTCACATCCTGGGGCCCCCCACCGGCGTCTGCGTCACTTGGCTCCATGAAGCGGCCCCTCAGCAGCTGCCTGGCGAAGGCGGGGTGGTCCATTAGAGTGTAGGATGAGATGCCCGCCCCATTCTGAAGCAGAAAAGATGAGATCTCCTCATGCCCTGGAAGACAGACGGCCTGTGAGCGCCAGGCACCGAAAACCCCCTGTGGCTCCCATCTCACAAGGGGGAAGTAAAACTCCCAGGATCGTGCCCAAAAAGGGGAAGTTTTTTTTTTTTTTTTTTTTTTAAAAGAGAAGTGCAAAGCAATCCACGATACCATCATTTGTTTTTCCTGTTCATCAATTAATCTTGTAAAAAAGGCTTTAGTACATATGAAACCGTATCGATATAATATTTAAATTATACAGTGAAGCAGGTCCTGCCACAGATCTCAGACAGCCTGAGCTGATCCGCCCATAAATCTGCAGGCCGGGACAGGCGAGGCCCCACCCACCTGCACGGGCGGCCGCATACAGCGGCAGGCCGGTGATGACGGCGAATTCGTTGCTGCGGATGCCGCAGCCCTCCGGGTCAGCCTGGTAGCTATATACCAGCAGCTTGACCACTTCCAGGTGACCCTGCTCGCAAGCTGTGGTCAGCATCCAGCTCAGCAGGTCCCTCTGCACGCACGGCACTGTGGGGGAATTCCGATGCGGTTAGGAGTCAACGCTCACCCCCCCTCCCCAGCCCCACGTCAGGTGGGCCCACCTGGCAAAGCCTCCAGCAGCTCCCGCACCACATGGTGGTGCCCGAAGTGGGCGGCCAGGATGGCGGGGCAGTCCTCCAGCGGCTCGCGGGGAACGGGCACCTTGGCCTCCTTCACCAGGTAGTGCACGCTCTCGATGTCACCGTGCTTGGCCGCCACGCACAGGAGGTCATGCTGGAGCCACAGTCAAATGAGTGTGGGGAAGGAAGACAGACAGGCAGACAGAAACATTAGGTGGAACATGAAAGGACATGTATAAATATATAAATGCCAACAAAAAAAATTAGAAAAGTGCCTGAAAAACCCATTATAAAAAGGGGCCAAAAAAGGAAGACTTTGACGATGTATTTTTAATAGCTGTAATGACCCATAATATACACTAGGAGGCACTATCACACATCACTTAGTCCAGGGGTGGCCAATCTTATCCTCAAAGGGCTGGTGTGTATGCAGGTTTTTGGGATAACTTGTAGGTCAGCTGTTCAAACCCAGGTGTGAGGACTTCAGCCAATCAGTCCTCTAATTAGTAATCTAATTAGGGAGTTGCAGCGAAAACCCGCATACACACCGGCCCTTTGCAGATAAGATTGGCCACCCCTGACTTAGTCAAAGTGCCAAGCATTAATGTTTAAAAGATTGATCCTTTAAAAGGTTACAACCTAGGCTGCAGTATTACAGTTATCCGCTCAACCACATTCTTAATTATGCATAAGAAACACATTTGTATATTAAACTGAAATTGAAAAAGACCTTTTAAGTTCAGACTGATAACAGATCAGCGGTGAGACAGAGCAAATTAAAAATGAAAACATGCAGAAGATCAGTCTGACTGGATGACCCACCAACACACTTCCCACTAGAACTTATAACACTAGAATATTTGTTGCACTACCCCCCCCCCCACCACCACCACCACCACAAAATTTAAATCAATGCTCAAGTTGGTTTCCCAGATGTAACTTCTTCAAAATAAGATGAAATTGAAACGAGGATTTCTCTTTGTGGAATGCTCAGGGGAAAAAAAAAATTTCAAGAAAAAAAAAACACTGATTAATCACTCTCTCCATGTAAATGCCATGGGTCACTTCCTCCATGCATGTGAATCGACATTGTTCTAGGACAACTGCATCGCGTCACTTTCTGTCATACCAACAAGCTCCGTTCAGGGTCATTGTAGATTATTCCTCCCATCAATAAACATGGAAAGCATCTCAATCATACCAAGACAAAGAACATAACATTGAGTTAAAAAAAAGACTAGTTTAATTTCTACTGCAGTCTCCAGGATGGATTGACACCTATGGACAGCAGCGGTCAGATGCAGTGCTGTCAACATGTACATCTGCCTGCCTAGACAGGCACGACTAGGCCCTGGAGGATGACAGAGTCCATAATGCATTGATACACTACATCATCGCTCATCGCTAATCTAATTGCAGACACAATACATGCTGCCATTGACCTTTCCTCTACTTTTGAATCCACTTAGAGTCTGACGGCAGAGGGGGGGTTTCTGGAACATTCAGTGTGGCCCTCCTTCAAAGATCCTTTGAGGAGCGTACAACATGGCCACCACCATACGCAACGCTTCACCATCAGCCACAGAGATCAAAGGTCACCACACAGAATGGTCTTTGTTCTCGGTCTGTTTCCTGTTTATTAAAGTCTTGAGACATTATTTCTCAAATCTGTTATTTGGCGCAATTTGTTTTGCTGAAATAAATCCTCAGGACCGTTACCTGGTGAAGAAGGGTTCTCATACAGTTGTCAACCATGCCGTACAAAAGCATGAGCTAACAAGGGCTACCGGCATCAGCATATGTTGCTGTTTATTACATGAAAGATGCAAGGTTTGATTTCTCTCTTTTGGGGGGTTATTTTACCTCCAAGGCGAAGATATAACTCAAGTACTAGCGTTTCCTTCCAAAATGCTTAATGTGACATCTTGGTTGTTATCAATATCACATTTACTACAATATCTATAACAAATCTACATTATTTTCAGTATTGTTCTGTTAGATGACATTAAGAATTTTTCCCATACAGATTGTCTCATTGATATAGTTCACAATTTGCACTCCCTGCACAGGCAAAAGCCCACCCACCCGCCGAACACTGTTGGGCAGCCAGAGTCACGGATTTCAAAACAGACCCATTCAGGAGGTAAACAAATCCAGTTCGCAATCAAACGGTTGAACATGGGAAGGGAAACCTACACGCCGGATAAGCAGCTGCAGCACTGCCGCTGGAGATGCACAGTTGGAGATGCAACGTACGCCAAGAACCACAGCACATTTCCCAACAGTTCCGGCTTCAGGACCACCCACTTCCTCAGGCAGGGAGCGTAATAAACGATAAAGGAAGGAAAAGCAGCACAGCTAGTCCCTCATCAGAGGGGACAGGGGGCGACATGCACCCCTTAGGGACAGTGCAAAAACCCGCCGTCGCTACGGAGACCGGCACGGCTGCAGCCCAGTGTTGCTATCCTCTCTCATTTTCCTGCGAGCTGCCCGCCAGACCCTCTCCTTCCCAGCCATGATGTTTTCAGAATCAGGACCACCCCTGCTTCCCGGTGGCGCTCCGCAAGCAGCTTGTGCCCATTACCGCCAGCCGTGCCTTCCAGCTAATCACTACGACGCCAGGCCTTAGCGGTACGTCTGGGATTTCCAGGGATCCACATTCCAGGGCTGGAGATTAAGATGTAGGAAGATGATTGTGTTGGCAGGCCCAAATCTCTGGCCGTGAAACCGAAACGGTTCAGCTATGCTAAATACAAGCTGTCAGCCTCTGTAGTTTAGCAGCGGTTAACGTCTCCTTTTAACCCCCCCCCTCGTCCCCCCACAATCTCAAGCAGGGAGAATGACACCCCCCTTACCTTTTCCGGCCTGCCTCCTGCACTTTCCGAGCAAGAAATCCTGATCAGCTCCTGCGCCTTCCCGTTGTCCCCAGCTGCATAGGCTGCTTGGATGTTCTCCAGGGTCGGCGACTGGCTGAGGAAAGACTGCTTGCCTCCCATCCCTGTGGCGTCTGGACAGGAAGAAAACACCCAGCCCCACCCCCACACCAGCCCTTGCGTCAGTAAAACTCAAATAATGTGCTTCACGTTCAGCTACCTGGCCCGCAGAGCCTCAGAACTAGGTCAGGGCTTGGAGGGAGCGCTCTGGAGACTCCTGCCCGGGAGTGACGCCAACACGGACAGGCGGAGGGGGGTGCATCTCTCCATCTGGGACGCGGGGACCACTAATCACTCCGGTTCATCTCAATAACAGAGCTCCGTGTGCAAGGTGCGACAGCGGGAACATGGGAAGCCGTAACTGCAGAACCGGTCCCACAGAACAGACACATAAAAATTGTTTCCGATCTGCAGCCTGCATGAGAAAATCTGGTATTTTTAGCTGCCGGACTCAAGGTGATATTATTGTTCTGCATGTAAGGTGACATCGCCGTTTCCCCGCCTCCAAAAACATGGACATGGATACAGGGAAATTTAACTGACTTGCAGAGTCCCAGAAGAATCCAAACATCTTTGATCAGAGGTACGTGCCTTAAACAAAACCTGCTTAACGAATGTCCACCCACCCAACTCGCCAGCACAGTAAGTCACAGCTGGGAGTAATTTTGCACAGATAAAAGTATTTATCACCCTACATAGCGATTAGCCAGCCAGCCGTATTCTATCCCTCATGCGAGTTGGTAAGGAAGCCATAGATTCAATGCCAAGAAAACCATGGTAAGATGAAAAATGTTCTGGTTCTAAGGACCTTCTTTCCAGGACCTAGGAACATTGCCGGTTGTGCGTTTCATTATACCAACTAGGAAATCCGCAGCTGCACACTTCCAGCAAACTGATGGAATAGGGGAATCTTTCCCCGTAGGCTTAATATGAAGGCCAGTATGAATAATTAAGAGGCTGAGTCAGACAGGAGACCTGAGAATTCCTGAGAGGCCGTAACCATTAGAAGGGGGGGGTCCTGTCTCACGTCGATAGCCTTCGAGCTGCCAGGATTGAAGGGCAAATGGACACAGTGTGGAGCCTCGCATCTAACCCCACTGCGGTTAGATACCTCCCCTATCCCCCGCGAAAGTCACATCTGGCCAAATCGCCACGAGCACAAAACCTGGCCAATCACACGAGTGTTTACATGCAACCTCTGCCACAGCAGAAACATTTCAGTTAAAAGTCTGTCTTAAATTGCTTCAGTTTCAAACCCCCAAATCAAAACTTAGAAACACAGAAAAAAAATAGTAAGTTATGCTGACTTTTATTGCCATGCTAACAACGAGGGCTGTATCACAGAAATGGTTATCTACCATCAGAAGCAGCAAGTTAATTTACTTAAAGCCATGAATTTACTATAAAGAGTACATAAATCTGGTATTTTGACTAACACACTGCTTTTGTTATAAATGCACCAAAAATTAGTCTTTGTCAAAGTGAGCGTGCTCTACCCTGCACCTCCGACGTCCCCGAGAGAGAAGTAGCGGCCTCTCTCAGCTGCAGCATGGCAACACAGCATTATTTGTCTGTGTCAATAGTGTGAAGCCTCTTCTCCCTTCTACTCTTCCTCTCTGGGGAACAGTAGCGATCCTTGATCTTGAGAAATGACGTTATCCCGGGTGGCCTGATCCCAGCCCCATGTAAACATTTTAGAAATTGACACACGGTGCATCAAGCCGGTTCCTGACTTATCATTCCAGCCTCCCCATCCATTTTTTCTATCCTTTTCATTTTGTTCTTCAAGAGGCTTTTCCTTTTGCTAGGCTGCCATTGTAAGTAAATCGTTCTTCATGACTTGCCAGGTTAAATAAAAGGTTTAAATAAAACATATCTCCTCCCTTTTCATCACAGCTGATCAGGGTCTCAGAATTCTACGTGCCATTTACAAACTACTGTGAATTAAAAATACATCTAAAGATGCAAAGGGATGTCCCAGTAACAAGCCAATATAAAGTGCAAGCAGACCAATGATCCAGCATCAGAGCCAGAGGATGGGGCGATAGTGTTTACACAGAGACTCTGCACAGAAATGCAGAGTGTGAACATGCTAGACACTCACATCAGTCCCCCGTCTCGCTAAATTAAAAGGCACATTTATACTACCAGCAATGCATCTGTGAACTCCAATCTAGCTGAAAAAAGCACAATGACAAGGAGTTGTTGATCAAAAGGTACAACCGCACAATCTGGCTTAGCATTACTGCCTAATACGGGCACGGTCACTCATGTGACACAACCTTTAATGTGTTCCTGAGACAGCGGAATTCCCGATTCGTCCTAGATCAAAAGTAGCATCCAACTCAAAATTTTCAAAAAACAAAGCATCCGACAATTAAGGGTCATATTCAGGTGCCAGAAGTGCACAAGCATTTTTGTTTGTATGTTCAGGATCTGCTAAAAGCCAAGCAAAACTACATAAAACACAATATCAATGTTCTCCCACCAAATTTATCCTAACGAGTCAGAACAGTCAAAACATCCATCGCATTTTGCGCAGTGTCTGCTGTATTGAAACGCTCACAGCTAAACTAACATCTTTGTCAAATGTTTGGGATCCATGAATCCCTGCAGCTCATACAGGGCGCTGAATCCCCATCTCACACGTACCGTATCATACTGCCCCTGACTCCTCCTGCGATGCCCGCCACTCCCGCATTGCGCCTGCGAGGGCTGCAGACCGTCTCACTCACCCGCTCGCTTACTCGCCTGCCTGCCTGACTGTACCACCGCCTACAAGGGACACGGTGTCTGATCTCTGTGGGAATCAGGGAGAGGGCGGGCATGTGGGGCACGGAGGGGGTGGGCTCTTAGTTTATCGGATGAGCGCTCCGGCAGCGTGAGGCGGGCCCACACGTACCAGCCGTCCAATACTCCGAAACCAAATCCTCCCCTGACACTCACGGGAGCGTTACGGTGGGGGAGGGGAGCCAGGGGAGGACGTTGTCACCGGGAGCGACCTCCGGGGCTGGTTTGCGCCTTGCTAGACAGCAGGAGTACGGCTCTGAGAGCCGGGCACAGGCATCTCATTCTGTTGCGTCCAGAGCAGATGAAGAGCCCTTTTACTCAGCACACACTCCGCTAACACGGCGCACACGCTCAGGACGGCTTTCCTAACAGCACAAACACACACATACACACAGCTGCACAATCCCCTTCATTTACCCAGTAACTTCTTGGTCATTTTAGATTCATGCCTGCCTTCCTCATTGTCCTTCTGGAATTTACGAAGTTAACACTGCACAGAATTTCCAAAGTCCTGCCACTAGCTGGCAGCTGAATGAAACACAGATACACGTCCTTTTTCACAGCACTTCAGTGACAACACTGTGGACATCATTGTTCATTGCACATAAAGCCGATTCCAGAATCAGAGCTTCAGGACATTATCTGAATATGGCCGACGACAGAGGCTGTATCTCCTACTTGAATACTCTGGGCTGGAGGCCCAGGCCTGACNGGCCTGCACGCCAGTGTCTCAACGCGTTTCAGTTCTTGGTTCTATTATTATCTCACCCGCCAGTCGCTGTTTCCTGCACACCAACAACCAGTAATACCCAAGGTTTTGGGGCCCACACCATGCATCTTGTTTCAAATGATCAGAAGCCTTTGCTGGTTATGATCAACATCATTACATCATTTTCTAAAATGAAATCAGAAACTCAGTCCAGAAATTCAACTTTTGGTATATCAAATGAATGACAATGGTATAGTACTGCTTTTGAAGCTGGTATTTAATTCTCCACTGAAGGTCCAGAGAAAAGAAAAAAATAAGCATGTTCTACCTTGATCAGTCTCCTATTTGTACATATCCGAAGGCTGCCCAGAATCTGGAATCCATTGCTCCAAAATACAAAGGCATTCAAATTCTTCATCAGGCTGTCAATCTAGCACAGATCTGAGGAATTCAGCCCACATACAAAACCATACATCCTCCCACTTCATTCAACTCTATAACAGACTTTTGCCGAATAGCACCACATATTTGCCAAAGTGAAGTTTAAGGGCGCTTTTCCACTGGCATACAGGAACCGACACATACACGAGCCGCACAGCAAAAAAAGTAATTACAGGGTGGTTACAGTGTGATTCCAGGTCGCTTTGGGTTTTCTACTGCAGAACAGTCGGCTCAGTAAATGGGTCGCCAGGTTTGGAGAGCAACAATAATGACATAAAAACCAAAGAGGTGCTTACTGTTCAAACTGTGTACATCATAATTTACTACGTACTAATTTCCGCTAGCAGGTCACTGAGAATCTTATGTCAGCATCAAATGCTAGTGGAATTAGCATTCAATGGCGTAAATTTATGTTACAAATCCAATCCATTTCATATTTTACAAATCTGAAGAAGCTGAACAGGTTATTTTAGTCAGCATCTACAAAACACTGTCACTGATTCTTCCTAGCGTTTGTGAATTTTATGTGGATTATTGCTGTGTGGATTTTTTTGTGGTCCTGTGATGGGTTGGCACCCCATCCTCGGTTGTTCCCTGCCTTGCACCCATATCCTCTGAGATGGGCTCTGGACCCCCCACAATCCTGATAAGGATAAGTGTTTTCAGAAGGATGGATGGCTTTCTTGGACGGAATTTTCCTGTGGATTTGCATTTTGAATTTGGTTTGCTCTGGACTTACCTGCTCTCCCGGCGAGTTTGACTGTTGTCTTTCGTTTGCCTGCCTGCCCTATTACATTCTCTTATTTGTTCCATAAATTTGTGTTTTTACAGCTGTGCCTGCACTTGTGCTCCATTGTCGGTCCTGACAAGCAGTCACAGACAAAGTAATGTCATTTTATTGTGATGCAAAATGTGTCGCCAGCGACAGAGTCTTAAATCATATCGAACTTTCATCGCGTATTCTGCATATCGATGTCAAGGAAAATTATATCGCGATAATCATTGGTATTGTTTTACCGTTCAGCCCTAATCTGAAGTGACAATTGCTTTCCTATAACAGGGCTCCAGACTAACTTTTTCCACTAGTAGCACTGGTGCTCCTTACTGAAAATTTTAGGAGGACCAGCACAAAATTTAAGTGCACCACTTAAAATGACATGCTATGCAACAAACCCAGAAATAAATGTTATGTTTTATTTTAAAGGAAAAAGTCACAAAGTTGTGATTAAGAGAAAAATCGTTATGCTAAGCACTGCTTTTTAAAATATAAAACACGAAATAATATTTACAAAAGGTAAACTTAAGGTATGTGGTCAGCCCCTATACCATCTGTCGCTGCATAGATTACGTTTTGAGCTGTTGTTGTGCTTTATGATTGTTTCACGAGGCACTTTCCCACAAAACTTTAAGAACCTGGCCCATCAGGATCGGGAACTTCAGTAGTTCCTTGTCACTTTCACGTGTCGCTTTCCCACCACACAACAGGTACTATGTTAAATAAGCATGGGAGAAGCAAAAAGTTCACAGCTTAAACTTCACACATAATTCATAGGAAACTGCACTGTCACCCAAAAATAATGGATGATAAACCATCTGCTCAATTTTTGCTCTACTACTTTACTCTCCTTTCCATGCACTTCTGTGCAGTTTGGTCAACCAGTCAGCAATGTAGCCCCAAACCAGTAGTGCCCCAAGGAACAGCAATCAGACTGAGTTCCTGACAACAGAGTTCCTGGTTCCAGAAAAAAAAGTTCATGTGGTGGGAAAGCACCATATCTTGGTTACGCACACGTACAAACATACGTGCATATACACACACACACACACACACACACAATTCTTGCTCTCTTGCTGTTTCACATGATATAAAATGATGGTTTTAAAAAACATGGGGTATATTTGCAATGGTGTGCCTAGTTATAAAATTTTGTCACACTGTCTCTAGAAATGATCAGTCTCGAGCCTTGTATAACATTGATACGTGTCTTATAAAGTGCCATCACACAAAGGCAAGCACTGTACAACATTTGACATTGAATTAATGTAAAAATACTAATTGCACGAAAAATTATTAAAAACAGCAAGATAGGAAAACTGCATCATGGGATCATGTGATATAAACAAATATACATTCAAACACTGACAGAAATGCTCAAAGGTTGTTCTCTCACCATCTTGTTCTTCCATGTCTTTAGCAGTGTCTCCAACAGACCAATACATGGTCCACCAGCTTCACCCGCAAGGACAGGCAAAGCAGAACCAGATGCTTCACTAAGAGACCATAGCTGGGTGGACCTGAAGCAAAACGATATCATCATTAGGTGTGTGTAAAAAAAAAAAAAAAACACACAACATGGACAAGCATTTGCTGAAAAAACATTTGCTACAGGACGTCCCCCTTCCCTGTCCGTCAACTTCTCCAATAAATAAATAAAACATTTATGTCTAACAAGACACTTCCACATACAACTTTATAATTAAAACACGTAAAGCCCACGAAAAGCCCACACCTTCACTGACAGTTTCATACTGCAACATCGTACTGGGAGGGTTTTGCATGTTTTAATAACACGTAAAGTCCCCGAAAAAGACCGTCATTCACGGCCAAAGACGGCAACCATTCTGCTCCTCCTACACCGACATTACGCCCAGTGCCTGGCTTAACACTTACATACAAATGTTTCTAAAAGCTCCTTTCTGACGAACCATTACAAAAACTCAAAATGTCCTAACGCTGAAAAAATGATTTTATAAAACATTTAATGCACCGTATAATAAACTTCGTAGTCGCCACTTCCTTTTACTGCCTAACATTTGATATATGTTATAAGAGACGTTATACTCAGTTACATAAACTACGTTTATTCAGCGTGGCAGTTTCACACAAAGCTCAAACGGACGAGTAAATGGCATTATTAAATCGTTAACGAGAGCATTAATTGTTAAACGGAGTCCTCACGGTTCGAGACCGGCGACAGTTTACGGCTAGCCTGGGCTCAAACATACTAAATGTTCTGCAGATTTTAACATTCAAACCTAATGCGCCTATATTTCATTGTTCTTTTCACTTCTACGTAGGAAAACACAAGAGATATAAAAAGCAAAAAGAAGCGCCGGTGCCGCTCAAAAAAAAAAAGTGTGAGTCCGACATTCCACTTACCGCCGATCCGGTCGCTCGCGCCGTGCTAACGGCACCGCTCTAGCTGCTCTGGTGAGACACAAGTGGACGCAAACAGCTCATTTCCACGGTGAACACGGGCTTGGCGACATGGGGACGGAGCTACCGCTCCGAAAAAGCAGCCACTTCCTCAATCCTAAAAATCACTTACAGTCAGTCAGCGTGGTCTGCAGAAGCGCATCTGCTTACTGGCGGCGCAGGACGCAGGAGGAACCAGGAGGGACCGGGGCGGGATGCCCCCGTATTTAATTCTGCTTCATTCGTCCACAGTAAACAGACTTTAGTATTTAAATTGCGTCCACCAATCAGAAATAATCTCCTACGCCATTGTTTACCCCCTTCACGTGAACATTACTGACGTATTGTAACAGGCCTAATAATGATACTTAATGTAAGTGTCTATCTGACTGACAGGTAAGGGAAAAGGTACTGCTCTATTAATGCTAAAAGTTCCCAAGTAGTTTGTTGTTTTTATGACCCATGTGACACTTACCGAAGTTGCGCGAAGCAATTCACAAATTACATTATGTATAATCTGGGTCAAAGAAGATGTATGCATTGCCACCACTAAACAGAAACAGGCAAAATCCTAAAATCAAACGTTCTTTTCGAGTGACGCCCACATTTAAAGCAACATACGCGACTACCATTGATTCCAGCATTAACCAACTAGTCTATAGCGGCCGTAGAAATGTGTTTAATACTATTATTATCATTATTTTTTCCCCCGGACTTGTCCTCTTTTTTGTCCGGGATTTCGCTTTGATTCATATTGACATTTGCTTTCTACATTCAGAATAGTTTTGTGAGTGCATATTTGCGTTTCTTTGACGCACGATATCTATGTGTCCTGCCCCCTGAATTTGCAAAGCAAAATATGGTCACCCAAGGCTTATTATTATTTACAGGACGGCTCTGCAGGTCTCATGCAAATTCAAAAATGACTTCTACTGTCAATCATTGTTCAGCAGTTATAGGCGTGTGCGTTGTTTTCAAGCCCTTATATTTTTTAAAGAAATCGCTAAAAAATAATTAACAATTTTGTAATTAAGTTACTTAATTATATTAACACGCAAGATGAGTTGAGTTTTAGAACTTATGCAAGAAGGTCGGGTTGGGTGTGTTGTACTTAAACATTCACCTGACACTGAACAAACAAAAGCTACTTATAAAAAGCAATACTATCTACAGGGCAGGAGATAAAGGCAAACAACAAGTGTTTAATGGCTGTGGCTTGTAATGAAGGAGGCTTATGCAGAAGGCAGCTTCATTACATAAGGATAGTTTTAATATGAAAATAACACTCGAATGCTCCAGATGTGGGCCTTTTTCAAAAGGGAAGTACGTAAATTTGTTAGCCAAGTTGACAAAGGCGTGTTTTCTCCATGGCGCCAACTTACAAGCTGAGACCTCGACGGTGTAAGCATACGAACATGCAAAAGACATTTTATTATATTTTGCATTTATTTTAATTTAGCAGTATAGCTAATGTGCAAGTGAGGAAAATGACACATTAGGGGCTAAATATGGAAATGAAGCATCTAAGTGTTAGATTGTAGTAGCAATTAGGGCTAGTGCATAAATATCATTTGGCAGTCACATGGCTGTGAATATCACACTACTGCAGTTTCCTGAAATGCCTATTTCATTAGTAATAATAATGATTGTAACTTACAGAGAAGCTCAGTGATGTTCTGTAGTGGTTCAGTGATTCACATGTTGCACTGTATACCACTGTCTGTGTTACAGTAATATATCTTCTGACGCTATGCCTAGGCACATCACGCAACGTTACCTGGGGTCGTTGGTGTTTCAGGCCTTTCAAACTTCAGACACCCAGCTCAGGCTGACCAGGCCTCAGCTTGTGCCCTAGCACCGATCCCTCCCAGATCTGCCCTCGTCATCCACAGCCGCGTGGAGGCTTTGTCTGCAGTCTCCGTGCTGTTGCAGATAGCTCTGCTTCTTCTTTGCCCTGCAATGCAGATTACGGCCAGCAGAGGGTCTGCCCTGCAAAGCTTCTGCACCCTACCTCCGCAGGCACGCACCCTCACTCTACAGCCTGCCGGCTAGGCCTTCATACTCCTCGCTCTACTGCCCGAGGGCCTCCTCAAAACATTCTTTCCATGGTATGGTGAATGTCAATATGACCACGCTTGAAAACCTTGAAAGACCTGTTTTTTTTTTTGGACTGAAGTCACCTCTTAATAATCACTGATGAAGAGATGCCTTTGTTTCAAATGACTGCTGTTACGGGCATGTGAACTTCCTGCAGTGTGATTTAACGTGAGAGGTGACTGATGTGTCTCTCATTCCAAAAAAGTAATGATCTCTCTGTGAGCATTGTATTTACCGTTAATGCACCATAAGCGCCTTATGGCTGCCATTGCAAATCTGTTACTGGGTCTTGGGGCACCAAACCCAAGAAGGACCGTTTCCTGTGTTTAGCTTCATCGTTCAGAGTGGTGACCTACCATTTACATGTGCTGTGCCTGTGAGTTCTTGACACAGTTTTCTAACATCTATGTAATTAGCATCTCCACTCACAACTTGTTCCATTCATTAGTCTCATTGTCAATTCATGTCAGGAGAACTTTGACCCGACAGAACTTCGAATTGCACTCAGAACTGAATCAGATCTCTGAACGTCGGCCACAGCTGCTTTTTACGGATCAGATTTGTATAAAAAGTTTTGTTCATATGAATATTAATAAAACTCATAGAGTGATTTCAATTTGTACTCACTCTCTTTAAAACAAGGGGTGTAGATTTGGGTTTGGACGGTATGGGCACGTCCCTACCAATAATGCGGGGGGGATTTGAGGATGATTTAATCCCTACCAATAATGTACCTTGTGTGTTTATGTAATATTTTATTACATAATGCAGCCAACCAGCTTCCATGTCATACCAGCTCCTATTAATAGACAAACAGCCAAGTAATGTAAATTTCAATGGGATTACTGGCTGTTGCTCATACATCAAATACATTTAATACATAAACAAAACATGGTGACCTTGATGACTAATTATTAATACTAGTATTATGTTCACAGTGAGCAGATCAAAACACTTATTCTGACTGTTTATGGGAAAATAAAGTATATCCAACCAGTTAATCAAGATAACAAAATGATCAAATACAGAAAATGACTGACTATTGTTTTGTAACCTTTATTAATTCATATTTAAATATTGATACAAAATATCAATTACTAGCTTTATTGAGTAATCAGTTAAGTCATTGGACAATTTGGTTAACATTATTCACATGAGTATCCTATATTTAGTTACGATTTACAATATAAATCAACCTTTTAAATTACTCAAACCCTTCTTGTGAACTATTTTATATGATCTACAAAAGCATAAGAAATTAAATTAAAAAAATATTTGTAAGATGTACAATTTTTTATCCAAAACAACTGATATTAAAAAGAAGCCTCACTTTAAAAAGAAAACCTACAGAAACCAGATAAGCCTTTTGAAGGTAAAACTAGAAGGTTATAAACCATCTGAAATATTACATATTTCATCATTGTGACAGCTCTTTCAACATATTAAAATCTATTTAATGTTATTAAATAAAATGCACTCTTTAAACTTTTTTATGGTGTGAAAAATGTAACGCTTGACAAAAAAAGACAAAACAAAAACTTACTTTGCACAGAATGCTGATTTCATAACTGCACTTCCAAGTTTATGGTCAATTTAGATGCATGACACATAGTATATTGAAACAACACAATTATATGGTTTTACACTGGCTATATTTTACATTGTATATGTATATAATTTACCTTATATCCAAACAGTGATTATTCTGACTACAGGACGAAGGCTACCTCTACAGATATGGGTTGTGCAGTATCTCTGAAATACAAGGAAAAACTAATTGATGTCTGCTTATCGATCAGCATCGATCAAACAAGAACAAGAGTATGAATCTTGGCCTCAGCATGCGTAAGATCTATATTAATAAAATCACCGGCATTGTTTTGTAAGTTGATAAATCTGTACAGACTTAAAAAGTTCATTTTAACTGCTGCTGTAGTCATTTCTTTGTACAGCAGCAAACTCCCATCGTCTGCCCAACATTGCTCCGGAACCAGGCTCACACTCATAAGAGTCCCTGAGCAAGAGCTGACAGATAGAGGTGAAGAGGGGTGGAGGCAAAGAGGTCAGGGGAAACAGAGGCAAAAGGCGAGGAGAGGCAGAGGCACACAGGAGGGATGAAGGTAAGGAGGTGAGGAGAGGCATCGGTGAGGAGGGGAGGAAACAGTGAGGCGAGGAGGGGTGAAGGTGAGGAGGTGACGAGGGGTAAAGGTGAGGAGACCTGGAGGGGTGCACGTAAGGAGGTGAGGAGAGGCAAAGGCAGGGAGGCAGGAAGGTGACAAGGGGTGAAGGTGAGGTTGCGCAGACCGCTCAGTGAGTACCACGCTCTTCCTAAGTGCCCACATGGTCACAGGCCTGTCAGCTTTTCACGCCGACTTGCTCAGTCCTGTTTTGCCACCTTGATAGTGACAGTTTTCACTTCAGAGTACTCTGCCAGGGCATATTCACCACTGCAAAACCAAACGAGAGCTTCGTTAGAAAACACAATGTCTACATGATGAAGCACCACACACCTAACAGAGGTGGCCTCCTGACTTTACAATTAAACTATTTATGCAAATTTTGTGTTATATTCTAATTACAGACATTCACTGTGAGTAATTATGGTACAATTCTTGGTACAAATTTCCTGATATCATATAGCCACAAAAAATCAACAATTGCTAAATATATATTTTTACCTCTGCTTGTACAAATTTTATATATATAGCTACAGACAAGCTATTTGTTACAATGCTCCAGAATTATTGGCATCCCTGACTGGAAATGCACTAAAATATTTTTTAACTATTAAAAAACAAATAATAAATAACAATAAAGGGATATATTAAAAAATGCAAAATTCCAAAAATGATCATAGTTTATCAATATTCCAATGGAATATTATTTGGAATTGATTTTCCAAGTGTGTTACATCATTTTTATACCCTGAAACAGGAAGCGATGATTCTTTGAAACTTGAATAAGGTGGCTTTCATTCCCGGTTTAAATTTGGTAGACTTATTTCACAATAATCTTTAAGAGTGCTCTTAATGGTGAAACCTGTGAAACTGATTTTTATTTAAATGAATAATTTGGTTGATTCCATCGAAGCATTAATAAACATCTTGGCATTTTGAGTTTGTCTCTGTAATGTTACTGTTTGGTTTTTATAATATTTTAATGCATTTCCGTCAGAGGTACCAATAACTGGACACCATTGCATACAATCATGAACGATTATTATTATGATGAATATATGGAAATGGAAGATTGGCAATGGAAGTGTGGTCTTACAGCTCTCTTCCATTTCCTGACATTTTGTAGCCACCGAAGGGGGTCTGGGCATGAAGGGCATTGTAGCAGTTCACCCTGCAAGAGTAAAGGCAGAGAAAGCGGGTCCATCTTAAAAAAACACCTGCAGACCTAGGAACTGCGTTTACCTACTATATGGCTGAACGGGAGGGCAGGCTTGCCGGGCAGGACCAACCTACCAGACGGTGCCAGCCTGCAGAGCGGCAGAGACGCTCAGTGCCCGGTCCACGTCGCGCGTGAACACGGCAGCAGCCAGACCATACGGCGTCCCATTCGCTCTCTCTATCGCCTCTTCCTGGCTTTTGAATGAGAATATGCACTGCACCGGGCCAAAGATCTGAAAGAGAGGCGATCAGAGGCAGTCAGACTTGAAAAAAGAATGTGGAGCTGTTTCATTTTAAATCTGCTGGAGGTCAGATTCCAAACATGTGGCTCATTGGTTGTAAAATCTGGAAAACCTCAGTGGCATGTGGGACATGGCTGTTAGAAAGGAATCGTTGGTGACACTTAGCAAAAGCAGAATAATATTATTTACAATTCAATTTTATTTGTATAGTGCATTTTCACACACACAGACTTAAATACATTGGACTAATGAATAACAATAAGAAACAGCTGATCACATGGGGATTCCACACGAGGTAAACGAGGGGGTGGGGCATGACAGGAGAGGCGTCGCAGGCCAGTAGGATGTCACATGATATGAAATGCCCCTCTCCCCTTCACCCTGGAAGTGGCATGCAGCCTAGCAGGAAAGCTGCGTCACACGCAGCATGCGACCGCAAACCAAACTATACCCCTAAAAACACCAACGGCGCAGCTACCAGCAACATTTTTTTGAAATGCTTTTTTAGCATCTCTCTCCTTCTGCTCTTCAGGGTCATTTAGCTGATTGTGATAAATGGGCCACTGTGAGTCTCGTACGAATGACAGTGGTGACACTCTACTGCCGGGATCCAGGTCTGAATTAACCGGATCCCTTACTGGGAAATTAGCCAGTGAGTGTGAACCTGCAGATTTTACCCTGACACCAACACTCTTGCACCCCTGGTTTATTTTGAAAATGCTGAAAAGTTTCCAGTTATAACTGGTTTCCAGTTATAACTGTTATTAATGCCTGTTGCTACACTTCTGTACAGCTGAGATGAAAGAATATTTCAAGGATGGTGGTGGGGTTCAAATCGTCTTTTGGGGGAGGGGGTGGATCCCATCATGGTGTGTGTGTGTGTGCGTTTTTGTGTGTGGGTGGGTGGAGGTGGGTTTGCATAGATCACATTTGGGGACCAAAATGTCCCCAAAGTGTAGTAAAACCTGAAACTTACTTACTTTTGGGGACACTTCTTCGATTCCCCATTTGGATGACCTCAATTTTATAACAAAAAATCTGTGAATGCAATCAAAAAAGTAAAAGTGCCAAAATTCTTGTATTTTGGTTGGTTAGTCATGGTTAAAGTTAGGGCTGGGTAGGTGGTAAGGGTGTCGTGATTGGGATTAGGGTTTTTCCCATAGAAATGAATGGACAGTCCCCATTTAGATAGGTAAGCCAGCATGTGTGTGTGTGTGTGTGTGTGTGTGAGAGAGAGAGAGAGAGAGAGAGAGAGAGCCGGTTTACCTATCCTTATGGGGACATAATATGTCCCCATAACGTGATAAAAATCCGTTTTTTTTCCCTTATGGGGACCAGTTTCCTGGTCCCCATAAGGGAAAACTATTTTATAAAAATCGGTGACTGCTATGAAAAAACTAAAAATGCAAAAACTCTTGTATTTTGTTAGGTTACTTATGGTTATGGTTAGGGCAGGGTAGGGGTTAACCGTTACGTGAGTGAAACTACACAGAACAATTTAAGGGGATGGTGAGGGGTGATGGTATACTTTGTAATTTTTTTTCATGGGGGGGGGCATTCATGTACAACCCATGATAACTCGAGGCTTGCTCCTTCTGTATGATTTCAATATGACATGGGATTGAAATGAAAATGTGCCGAAAAGGTGCAGTTTAGATAGGCAGCCTAGAGGTGGCAGTATTGCACACTCATAAAGCATTTACTAATCTAAGTACCGAGAAGTTATCAAGCACTGAGCTATGTCTGAATCATCGAGAGTTCATGCTGTGACGGGCTGACGGAGGAGTACCTCTTCTTTAGCAATGCGCATGTGGTCTTTGACCCCTGAGAAGATGGTGGGCTGAATGAAGAGGCCTTTACGATCCATGGGACGGCCTCCATATTCCAGTGTGGCGCCCTCTCGCTCGCCGCTCCTGATCAGATCCATGATCTTGTCAAACTGCTTCTGGTCAATCTGTCTCAACAGGACAGGGACAATGTCAGCTCCGCGCTGAGAGCGGTTAGCTTAGCTGCCGCGCCGGCCCGCCCGGCAGGACAGGGACAATGTCAGCTCCGCGCTGAGAGCGGTTAGCTTAGCTGCCGCGCCGGCCCGGCCGGCAGGACAGGGACTCACCTGTGGCCCGTGTGCCGTCCGTGGGTCCATGGGGTCCCCGGCCACCACCCGCTCGGCGCTCTCCACGCTGAGCCGCACGAACTCCTCGTACATCTGCTCCTGCACGAAGACGCGGGAGGCCGCAGTGCAGCACTGGCCCTGGTTGAAGAAGGCGCCCCTCTGCACCTCCTCCACAGCCAGCCGCACTGAGGTCAGGGAACCACGAAGAACACAGCCTCACACACACACCCTGCAGACCTGGTACTATTTGTCACAGGTGGGTAAAAATCCAGACCAGAATTGAATATAAAGAGTCAGTCACAGAGTACTCAGCAAGTTGGTTGAAACAAAATCTTGGTCTCAGTACTCATACTGGTGATGTATAGTAGTCCCTCTGGTCAACAGCGTTCACTGTGCCCACCTACCACCCGTATTTCGACAGACTCTCTGGCCCGTCCTGTTTACCCCCTGTGCCGCTTCACTTACAATCCGCGTCGGCAAATACGATGGTGGGGTTCTTCCCGCCCAGCTCCAGGGTCACTCTCTTCAGGTTACTCCTAGCCGCTGCCTCTTTGATTAATTTCCCAACCTGAAGAGGAAACCTTTTCTTTTAACGTGATCCTTCACTTTCACGGTGCTCCTTTACAGCGTCACGTCAATGTTAATATTTTAATGACTGTGATAGGAGGCCATTCGCTCCCACGAAGGAGCAGGCAGCCATGGGGCTCTGCTGGCAGTTAGCCGATATTTGACACCATCAGTTTGGCATTCGATTAGCCAGGAAGCACTGAGCAGTCCCCGTGCATTTAACAGTGCAAAGGGAGCACCACCGGCCCTCACATGCCTTGGTGGCATTTATTGAAGGTGGCGTACCTCTGTAGAGCCGGTAAAAGCCACCTTGTCCACCTCCATGTGGCTGGATATCGCTGCCCCTGCCGTCGGCCCGTAGCCTGGCAGGATGTTGACCACCCCAGGAGGGAAGCCAGACTGCAAGCAGAGAATCAGGGCCTTCAGCTTAATTAATGTCCTCATTATACGCAGCAAGACAGAAACAAACAGCAGCAAAGGCCAGAACTTTCTCTAAGCGGCAGAAAGGACCAGACACATAAGCCATCTCCATTCTGTTTAAAAAACCACAGGTAGGAAACTCTCCTGGAACGATAGTAGATAGTAACATTGAACTACAGTAAATTCATTAATGTGTCATTAATGTGGTGATATGGTGAGTAATAATCACAGATTATTAGCATGCTGGGATTATGATGCCCAACTTGGGCAGAAGTATGTGAATATCTGAGAGCTAAGACCCTTCAGTAATGTCTCGGGGGCTGGGGGCTCACCTCCTTTATCAGCGCCCCCATGTGGAGGGCAGTGAGCGGCGTCTGCTCGGCTGGTTTGATGACCACAGTGTTACCACAGCACAGTGCTGGTCCCACCTTCCACACAAACATCAGGAGGGGGAAGTTCCACTGGGGCATTTAGTGTTGGTGAGAGATGAGGGATTTGGGTCAGAGAGAACAGGAGAATGAGGAACGGGAGACATTAGTGGAGGCAGTGAAATCAGCACAAATGAGTGGCAGCAGGTTAAAGATCAGTCCTGGACACTGCTGTAGGACCATTAACGAGATGGCTGCAGCGATGGACCTCAGAAAGTCACATGGGCTGTTAACAGCAAATGCCATCAGACAGTCAGATGCAAAATGATGTAGGGCCATAACTCCCACAGTGAGCTGGCTACAGTGACAAAGATCAGACAGTCACTTGCAGACCAATGGAGTACTGTTAACTTCCACAGTAAACCGGCTCCAGCAACTGAGATCGGACCTTAACTCTGGAAATCTTTCGTTTCCCAATGTCCAACTTCTCTCTCAGTGACTCACTTTCACTTCATGCCAGAACGCTTAGAGTAATTACACATAATTGTTTAGTATGAATTTCATCTTTATGATATAATCTCCCATGTCTGACAACTACAACGTTTTGTTTCTGTGTTGCCAAAACACCATAAACTCACATACCCCTGTTTTTGCAGACTAATCCTGAATAGTCATTAATATTTTAGACACTGCTAAGATTAAAAAGTGCCCCGACCCAAACAATTACCCAACACTTTAAGTGCCATGCTTGTCACAGATGTCATTATCAAGCAAGACAACGATTTTTTCTTAAGAGAAAGTGGAATAAATCAGCCTGTGAATGTGTCACAAATGCCGTTTTTGGTACAGCCCTTGTAATGCTATCCCCCCAATGGTGAAAGCGTTTACAAGTGATTAGAGCGGGTTACTTCTAAGATGAAAGCTGTCTTTTAATACACCCTGAAACCTGCTGGAATAGCGGCAGTGACTACCTGACCCATTGTCTTGCTCTGTCTAGTGTAATGACGTGGATAGGGCTGGATTCACCATGAACATCATTACATGGCTTGACATGAACGGGTGTGGGACGCCTCATCTTTTGCCATTTCCATCTGCTTAGTTACTGGCTTTGGCCTCGCCGTTCTGAATCGCGTCACACGCCTTGTGGAGTTTAAACCGAGCACACAATCACAACCTGCGGGTTGTCGATGGAGGAGCTGTCTTTGCGGATTATCTATTAGCAATGCGGCGATCATTGGCAGCGATGGCCCCCCCCCCCCACACCGACAGACTGCTCAGCCTGAGCAGCGGCTACTGCAGCGCCCCCTGGTGACTGTAACCAGCTATGGGGCCACGCTGGTCCTCAAGAAGAACCCTGAGCAGTAACGTAGGACGGGGAACCCACCTTACTGGCGCTGATCGATGATGCCATTTTTATGGTAGAAACACAAAATATATCAAGCAAATATTAATACATTAAGCAAACATATTAGGTATACAGATTAAATAGCATTCATTGAATGCAGATTATCGAAGAGTAGATAGGCTCCAAATATAAACTAATTAATGCATTTTTAACTGTGGCTATCAATTATCCAGCCCTGTTATGGTGGAAGTGTCTGCTTCCCTGGGTAGTGCGCCCCCTGCAGGACCAAGTGGAAAACATGGTTCCATAAAGCTGTCAGAATGAAATGGGAACCAAGCATCTGAGGCACGCACAGCAGGCAGGATGAGGGCGGAGGCCTCCAGGCCTGTGCTCAACTCACCGGGATGATCGCTCCACACACGCCGACGGGCTCATGTTTGGTGAAACACATGAAATTGTCATCTGGCAAAAACATGGGACACAAACAAATTAACAGAAGAAGAAATAAAAGATGAAAGCAACAGAACATTTCATTGAATTTTAAGACGTACAATGAATTTCGGCAGGCCGCAAAAGGTTCGCCAAGGTTAAGCGTGCCTGGAAGGAGGTAACTAAAGCACCGTCCCCACGGACGCCGTGAACAGAAGGTCATTGGTTCAAATCCCACGGTCGGCAGAGTAATTTTCACCACTGGACCCTTGAGCAAGGCTCTTAACCCTGATTGCTACACAGACTGGCAGACTATGCTCTCTCAGCCACATGTCACTTTGCTTAAAAGCATCTGCTAAAACAAATAAATGTAAATGTCCCTCAAA